TAACATTTTTAGCTCTTCTAATTCTCCATAAAAGTGCATATTTAATTTGATGATGTCATGATTTTCTTTTAATTTGACTCAAAAGCTGAATTTTTAATATTTATTCTTATTTGTTTGTGAAGGATCCTTGTATGAATCTTTCACTCAATGTCTCTCTCTATACATAATTGACTTTGCGAAAAATATTTTTTTACCTTTTAAGTTTTATAATATTAAATATACTTGTATAAGCCTACATACATATATTTATATTGCAATATAAAACTCAAGACCAACCTATTCAAACTGATTTAATTAACATATAAATACATAGATAAACAATCCTTTTTTAGACAGGAAAGTGTTCACAAGTCATTCAATGACTTTGTTTTAGTAATAACAGATAAATCTGGATGAGAGTAAAATATTTCATTATCAATACCATGGGTTCCAGACTTTTGTTCCACTTGACTCCATATCTGCCATACTGTTTTTTGTTTGTAATTAATTTTGTGAAGTAAACAGGTGTATTGTAATTGTATAAACCATGAGATCTCTTTTAAGAGTTGCTATTTAAAATAATTAAAAGTGGTAAATTATCAATAACAATAATTAGTAAATTGTCAAATTTCTTTTTGTTGTTATTCATGAAAATCATCTGAAAAACAAAATTATTTTATATGTATATGTCTGTATAATGTAAAATAAGATAAATTTCAAATTTTTTATTAAAATTTTGTTCTTTCTTTCACTGATAATATAGGATTTACAACAATACCTTCAACAATGGAAGCCATACAAAATATTATGGGCCAGTGACAGCATATCTACAAAAAGAGATATACATAATGTTAAACTTCTTGATTGTGAACAAGCTCTTTCTCTTCATGTTGATTTGGATAACTATTTAATGGCTGCTCCTAATATTCATATCATTGCAAACTCTGTTGCCATAAATATTGGTAATTACTGCTAATTCTTTCATTTAAATATTTATGTTGTTTTAATTTTTAATTTCTTTTTTTTTAAACAAGCGTTCCCATTAAAAGCTTAAACATTTAAAGAACAATATTTTATACTCATTAAAAAAAACTATGGCCTACAAGCATCTTTAATCTGGCCCGCAAAAATTTCCTTTATTATACTGTAAACTTTTAACACATATTTTATAAATATGAAATTTATCAAATTACTTACACACGAGATTACTATAACATTTATTGCATGGGTTTTATCTCTTAGAGAGCTCATTTTATAATGAGATTTTTTTTTATCACAAACTATGGCCTGCGGAACTTAGTCGAGGTCTCAATGTGGTCCGTGAGACAAAATGTTTGGAGACCCCTGGTCTAAATAATAGAGTTTTATCAATTTTTCTCATCCTGTTGGTTAACTATTTTCTTCAGAAAAATACTCAGATGAAGATCTTTTGAGTTTATTTTATTCTTTAAGATTTTTTGTGTTTTCATTTGGTTGCCAACATGATAAATCAAATTGTGGTTATAAATCAAACATCCTTTCAAGATCGAGAACTGTAAATAGTAATTGGGACTTTTTAATATCATTGATTCCAATCAGAACTAAATGGCGTGAGTATATTATTAAACTTCAACAGAACTTTTAAAAATATGTGAAATACATGTGATTGCTTTGAAGCATCAAAGACAAATCTTAAAGAGCAGTTTGATTTTAATCTTTATCTTAATTGATTTTAATTTTAATCTTAAAGAGTAGTTCGAGCATGCTTTGCTTCATTGCGCCTTGTAGCGAATTAAAGAATCTGCTGACCACCGTAGTCAATGTAGGGGGAAATAAATGAGGATATAAGGCGTTATGGAAAAAGATAAAAGGAGTACTGGAATAACTTATTTGTGCTTATTGGCCATCAACAAATATAGGCGATGTGGGGTCGCCAGGATAAGTTTTGGTTAGTTAGTAATATCTAAGTTTTTAACCGAGGAGCTGAAAGTGGTAGAATGAACCTACGAATAAAATAGGAATGGTGGAAATGGCACTGAGGAAGGAATCGGAACTGATAATAATTGTCTGAGTTTTCTAAATTATTCAAAATAACCACTAGTCCTATCCAGGTCTTCCTGAATATAGGCAAACCCTTTAAATAACTTGGAAGGAGCTAAGGATAAATAGAGTTGGAAATCATCAGGCATGTAGGTGGTGAGAGTAGTGATGTATTGAATTGGGAGGATCATTGAAAATGAAGAGAAGGAATTGACAAGAAGAGAGGAAATGCTTAAACTCTGGCCTACTTCAGAGTAGAGGTTAAAGGAGGAAGATAGTGGTTGATTCAGCATGGAAACTGTTTGAGCCCAATAAAAGATTAAAACCATAAAATAGAGCTATATTTATCTTAATTTGGTCAAAAAGATAGAATAGGCTAAAGAGTCTAAAGCTTTAGAAAATAGAAGAGATATTAGTGCACTTAATTTTGTTTGTCCACAGCAGTATTTATGTAATTTACTATTCAGTTAAGAGCGGGATTTGTGGAGAAGCAAATTGAAACCCGATCGGGGAGGATCAAATAATTCTGATTCTTTGAGGATGTCGCATATTTGTGATCGAACTATTCTTTCTGCAGCTTTGGAAAAGTTAGACAGGATGGGAATCTGTAATTTAAGGAAATGTTAGGGTTCTTGTTATAGCTCAGACCAAGGCTTTTTCCAAGAGGTAGAAAAGATTGAGTTTTGGAATGAAAAATTTTAGATAAAAAGAAGAACTAGTAGGATTTCAGGGAGGTATAGCTTTAACAATTTAATAGGTATTCCATCAAACCCAATGGAATCAGTGTGTGATTTAATTATGAAGAAAATAAGGTTAGTAGATAAGATGCAGGATAAGTATAAATTATCACAGTTAAATACTGCAAATAATGAAAAGTAGAAAGAGGAGAGTGAAATAATATTGGAAGAAGAAGATAAAAAGTAGGAGTTTAATTCATCTGGTGAAACTGATAAGACTGTTGAGGAAGAGTATTTACAAAGAAAACGTTTTGTAAGAAAAGAAAAGACCTTCATTGGATTTTGCTAGTCTGATTGTTGTTTGAGATTAGGAAGTTCTACAAGGATGTTAAATGGTTAAGACAGGGCTTCAGCCAACAGACAGAATCCTGTCTGGACCAAAACTGAAACCTTCTAACTGATAGTGACCAAATCAATGGGAAATGGGCCCAATACTTCAAAGCAATCCTAAATGCAGAAACAAGTAACATGCACACTACCCAAATATATCAATCAAATAATAACGAGAATTTTAATGAGGATATAATGCTAGATAGAGAAGAAATTGTAGAAATAATTCTTTCTATAAAAATCAATAAGTTTCCTGGGCCTGATGAAATCCCGTCATTAATTAATAAAATATAGTGGAGTGATATTTACAAGGTGATATGAGATATATGGTCAAAAGGAAAAATGCAAGATGAGCATGGGGCAAAACTATTGTAGTCCCTATACATAAAAAGGGAGATAAACTTAAATGTGAGAACTACACGGAAACATCACTCCTACCCACAGTCTATAAAATCCTGTTAGTGGAAATACATAAAAGGCTAGTGGAGAGGAGTGAAAGACTACTGGGAGAGTACTGGAGTGGCTTTTGCCAAGGACAATCGACTACTGACCACCTTTTCTCTATCAGACAAATACTGAAGAAAACGTACAAATATAATATAGATCTACATCATCTATTCATTGAAAACAAAAGTAAGCTATTGGAGGCTTTACAGCCAATGGAGATTCCTAGTAAACTAATAAAATTGAAAAGGATCACCACAGAAAGGACAAGTTGTAAGATCAAAACCAGAGTGGGTAGACGGTATAGGTTTGAGAATAACAGTGGCCTAAGACCCATTATTGCCTGTACTATATAATCTCGCCTTAGAAGTGGCAATTCAGAAATTTTAGTTTAATCCAGGTGTTACCATCTATACCCAACACATGGCATTTGGAAGCTAAAATAAAAGGCAGGATGGTTGCAGGAACTAGATGTTTCTATGCTCAGCAAAAGACACTCGGTTGCAAAAGTCTGTCCACAAAAGTAAAACTTGTAATATAGAAAACGGTGACTAGACCACCGATGGTTTAGTATGACAGTGAGACGTGAACTATGACCAAGGAAAATAGCAGAGCTGTGCTGGTAGGAGAGAAGAATCCTAAATAAGTTCTTTAGAGCCAGCAGAGATCAGTATAGGAAGTAAATCAGAAGAAATATAGAACTAATGGATGAGCCATAGAATATGATGAGCCAGATATCATTAGTGTTATTAAGAAAGATAGCCTCAAATGGTTGGGTCATATTGAAAGAATGGATCTCAGTAGTCTGCCATAAATGATGCTGATTGCCACTCCAGGAGGAAAAAGACAAATAGGCACCGATGATTGGATGATCTGGAAGAAGACTTGAGGAGGCTGAGGGGATCAGAAATATTAAGAACCTTATTGTAGTACTCATTGAAGAATAAGAATCGTTTGTGTCAAGTTGGAGAGTACTCTGTACACTTCATAGTCATATGCTAGACTTGTCTAAAACATCGATGGGCTGCTTCATTTACACTTAGGTGTTATCAATACAATGACAATCAATCTAACTAGAAAAAATTGAATAAATTTTAATGATGTGCCTTAAACTCATTTAACTAACAAAATAAGTTTCATGCATTCTGTTACTGAATAAATCTTGTTACTTTTAGCCCTGGAAAATGCCTGTAAAAACTTAAGTATTCAATAAATAGTTTCTTCTATTTTTGGTTTTACTCTTGCAGCCACTTGGAACTTATTTTTTATTTACTATACAGTCAAATATTAATACATAACATTTCATATATTATTTTCAGCCACATTGACATTCTGAAACTTATTCTTCCTTTTTTTATCTTGTTCCAATTGTTAATTAAATTTAATGAATGATACATGTTTACAGATAAACTTAAATTTTTGCTTTCTGGTGAAATAAAGCAGAGTACTCATAAAATTGGACAAATCTTACGTAAAAAATATCAACGTGAAATGGATTATGTTTATGCTGTAATGAGTGAGATGGAAAGGAAATTAGACAGGCCTATTAGGGACTTGGATGACGTACGTATGGTAATGGAAACTCTTAAGAAAATCAGGGATCAAGAGGTTGATATGGAATTGAGTATTGAACCTATAGAGGTAATTAGAATAACTGATTTCGCTTTGCTTTTATGTTTATTAATGTCTTTATTATTATCATGTGTATTTTATTATAATAATTATATACAGATAATATTCACGAGTTTATATTTTCAAGTTTATTAATTAAAAAAATATTTTTAAATACTTCTTTTTCTATTCCTTTTTGTTTACTTTTCTTTTTTTAGTTAACTTGTAACTATTTCTTTCCCTAAACCAAAAGTTATAAGGATAGTCATTTGTTTATAATATAAAAGTTGAACTGCTTTCTTTCGCTGTCATGACAAGTGTTAAATGATGGTTCCATTAATATTAAAAATAAAATGATGAAACGTATAAAAATTATTAATTTGTATTTTGTCTTGCTATGAGATAGATCTTAGCATCATTCACCATGTGATGAATATATGATATATAAATTTGAATATATGAATATGGCAAGTTATGAAGATCTTTACATATTTTGACCCTAAGCATTTGATTTTCTTGTATCAATAATGGTTCTATCTTTCTGATATTTTAATAATGATAATGTTTTAGTTGTGAGATTAACAATGATTCAAGATTTTTTTATATTTTATTAAAGATATATTGCACATATTAGTAATGAGATTATTTGTGATTTGGTTAGGTTAATACTACTTCTAGTCAGTAAAGGTTCAGGTAATAATGTTAGGTTTATCAGAAAGAATACTTGCTAAGTCATGAAATTGCTGATTCAACATTACAGTCCATATCTCTATGCCGCATAGGATAACCCCTAATGGCTTTCATGGCTTTCGTATGGATTGCATTATTTATAATGTTAAGCCTGTTATCATCTTCGGAATTATTATGCAAATCGATTTTAAATTAATAACAGAAGCTTCTGATAAAAAATTAATAAAACTTCTAGTCAGACTATACACTACATATAGCTTCCTATTTTTTATTTCCCCAATGTTTAAGTCATTAAAATCCTTTTATGTATACTTTTCCTAATTAATAAATTTAAAAATTATCAAAAATTCCATCCTTCTTAATTTTTCGTTAAGGATTAATCCTTTGACTGAGGGTGCATTCGGAAGTTTCTATTATATGTTGCATCCTGAAATCCACAAAAACCTAAAAAAAAAAATAAACAGATTTTTTTTTTTACATAAATTTCTTTAAAATATTATTTTGAGTCACGCTGCAAGATCTTAGCTTACGAAAATGCATTTTAATGTTTTTATTCAACTTTAAAAAAACGAGATATATGCCTTCCTGGCCGCACATAGCAATGCAAAATTAGAGCGGCAAACCCGCAAAACTGTGTTTTCTTTCATGATTGCTCATTTCTGAAAAGCGATATAACTGAAAAGGATCATGAAAATAACTGTAATTGATCATAAAAATTAAATTATATTATTTATAAAAAAAATGGCACCAACGGTGGGATACCAATTATATATTTCTTTGTATTTACAAATTTTTTTCTTGCCTAAGAAAGTTCCATATTGAAAATAGTGCAGTTATAAATTTTATAATTATACTTACACTTATTTTGAGTTTAAACACTAATATATATATATATTTATAATCTTGTGTTTAAGTGGATGGAAAAATTATAAAATAACTAAGGCATCTTTTTAATTCTGTAGATTTTTACAATTATTATTTTTTATTATTACATTTTAATTGAATTATACCTATATATATTGTAACATTCCTCTTATATTTTACAAATAATAATAATATAACCTCGGAAGCTCACTTCTTACCCTTAAGATACTTCCAAAAGAAATAAGAGGTTGTTAAATAAAAAACAAAATTATAAGAGTATTAATATATTTATTTATCTTGTTTGTGGGTTACTGACAATCAGATCAACTCTGACCAACTATTATTATTTACACTATTTATATTAAAATTAAACATTGATTTTAAAATAAAGTCAAGTATGGATTGGCAAGCTAATCTTTTTTATATATACACTATTTCTTCCTATGTTGCACTAAATTCATTTGTCTTCAAATGCTTTCCAATATTCTGCCAAACACAATATCCAAAAGGGTGACACTATTCTAGGTTTTACCCACTGGAGCCAGGATGGGATATCTTCTCTTCGCTGCAGTCACACAACAACTGTTTGCCAAAACAAAAACCTTTTGTCCCTCTCCTCTTGGGGATTTTCCTTCTTGGGAAACTACAGAGAAGCCATTTTCTTTTCCCTGCACTAGTAGAACTAGATTAGCTTGCCTTTTAACTGTTCCAATAAACGTTATATTACAATATATATATATATATATATATATAAAATGTTGGAAACTTATATTTATTTGTAAAATATTTATATAGAATATAAATAAGATCATGGATATGATAAAAATAACACAGAAAGGACAAATCTTGGATTCAGAATCAATCTGCAACTGATAGCTTCCAAATGGTCAGAATCTGGAACTAGTGCTCTGAAATAGCTACAGGGGACTAATGAATGGACCGACCAAGCCATAAGTCAAATGGTGAAGGCGGGACTTGCCCCTATCTGTTTAAGTGGCAACCGCCCAGGCGGGAAGGCATATATCCTGGCCCCACCAGTTATCCCACACACTACCGGGAAGGCATATATCCCGTCCGTACCAGTGACCCAATTCTTAACGGGAAGGTATGTAATCCGTCCGCAGTCAAAAGGTTATGGTGCAATGTTGTATTATTGTCAATGATGTGATCAATGATTTAAGTTTTCATTAGGTTAATATTAAAAAAAATATTGTTTCATTTTTTAGAATATTTCTCTCAATAATATTTATTATTGTGGTGGCATGTAGGAGTTCACAGTAAATCTTCCATAATACAACTGTATTCTAACAAAAATAAAAGTCAAAAGATTAAAAAATAAGACAAAGAAATAAATATTGCTTTATGGTAATTGTATAGGACATAAAATGCAGTTCATTCTTTTATATCATGAATAAATATAGAATACATCATAATTTCATGATTTAGTGAATTTTTATCAATGTATTCATATTTAATGACCATAAATATCCTAATTGGGGCAGAAAATACGGGTTATACAGCACAAAATCAAACTATATAAGTGAGAATGGTCAGGTAAATATTTATTTCATGAGTTTGCCTCCATATATATAAAAGATAGACTTCACTAACCTACATGGGCTATCCAATATCTTAGATACTTAATTAATTTTAAAAATGCATAAAGTTGGCTATTATTTTCTTATGCTCTATTGAAAAGTGTCTGATGGACTTATATTTAAATTGTAGCTTAATTTAGTAGCATGATTCATTATCCTTAATAAACATTATTTAATATTCTTGATAATAAACATTTTATAAATTTATAGCATTGTGTTTAAAATGCTTAGCTATTTGATATTGTTTGAATAGAAATAAATTGACTAATGTTGCTGAAATAATTTATTTATTAATTTAAGGAAGCCTTTAATATACTGACCAGATATGAATTACCAGTTGATAAAGAAATTTTGGAAAAAGTAAGTAATTTTATTTCAAATTTAGAATTAGAAATTCAGTGTAATTGAATATGATTTTAATAAAAACCTATTTGTAAAGAGGATTAGGAAAGTGCTAGAAATACATTATTCTACTTAGGCATCTTGTCAAGTTATGAAACTGTTATTCAAGATTTGTTTATGTTTAATGCTGGTTCAGATGAGGATGGTCAACAATCGACCAGATATTATGTCTGATAACTATCCTGGAAAGGGGACAGGAATATAAGCTCAAAACTCACCACCTCTTCGTCGATTTTAAATCAGCCTCCGACGCAATCGACCATCAAAAGCTGAACGATGCATTACGCCAGTTCAACATCCCCTCCAAGCTTATCAGGCTGACCAAGTTAATAATGGACAAGGTGGTGTGTGTTGTTAAAATAAAGGGCAACGTATCAGAGGAATTTTCTACGAGAAGGGGTATAAGACAGGGTGATGTCCTGGCATCTCCGGTGGGTGCTGAGGGAGTCTCCGAACCCGAGAAATATGAAATCGGGACGGACATATCCTCTCGTATCCCGGCGGAGGGTGGTCCTCCTGTAGCTGGCTCCTCTTAATGATGGTTAAGCTGTTGCAGGTAAATCTCCATCACTGGGTGGCAGCTTGTGGCGTGCTTCAGCAGTACCTCAGATGTGAGGATATTGATATCGTACTGATTCAAGAACCTTACCTATTCGAGAGCAGGATTAGGGGACTGGACATGGCTGGGCATAGCATTATTGTGGTGCGTAAATGTACAAGAACTTGTGTCCTGTTCAAGAAGAGAATTAAGCTGATTCCTCTGTGGCATCATTGTATCAGGGACCGTGCAGCAGCTCAATTAGCTCTTTCTGAGGGTAAGGATGGGGAGAGGATCATAGGGGCAGCGGTGTATCTCCCCTATGAAGAGGACATCCCTACAGCGACTCTAAGAAGCTTGCAGGAAATGAATGAAGGAAGAAACAGTCTATGGGTGCGCAGAAAAGTTGTTGGCAAATTGTGGGGACTGAAACCCAGTATGGCTCTACGGCTACACAGAACTGCGATTAGACCCTTAATCCTCTATGTGACTGTTGTGTGATTGCATAGGGCAGCTGCAATCAAGCCTAGAGTTTTGCTTGGCAAACTTCAAAGGCTTGTGTGCCTTGTGACGACTGGAGCTATGGGCACTATCGCCACTGCTGCAATGAATGTTCTATTGAATCTGATGCCATTTCATTTAGAGGTGGAATCATATGCTCTCATAACTGCCTATAGATTGCATAAACTGGGAACGAGATCAAAATCCCTATTTTTTCAGGGTCATGGGATGGGTTTTGATAAAATTGATAGCAATGAGGTGCTTGCGACGAACTCTGACCTTCAAGTCAATAATTATAGGGATATATTGTTTAATTTGAAGATAGACAGAAATAACTCACATAGACCATGCAATGGAGTTAACTGTTATACTGACAAATCCTTGATAGAGCAAGGATCAGGGGCTGGCGTTTGGAGAAAGGATAAATCTTATGTGGGAATATTCATATCTCTTTTTCTTTCTTATTATTGTGCTCAATCACTTATAAGGGAGGGCATTGTGAATAGATTGATAACAATATATACAGATGTAAAGGTACCTGAATGTGAAGGTCGATAAATGTAAAGGTCCCTAAATGTAAAGGAGGGTAGATGTAAAGGTCCCTTAATATAATGGTCCCTAAATGTAAAGGGCAATCAATTTCCACCAAATGTATTTCAGAACGTTTATCAGGATAAATAAAATATAAAAATTAACAACAATAATATAATAAAAAGCAAAATTTACAAAACAATCTTTAAGATTAATGAAAATTTTACAATTGAATATATAAAATAAACACTACTGACTGAGCTACCAATTACAGCAGCTCCGGCTGCAAAGGTTAGTGAGGAGCCAGGGCCAGTCATAAAGCGTGCCAGATCTTCGCTGAGGAACTCGACGTCTGGGGCGAGGAGGGCCAGAAGTGGGAAGGCTGGTGCAATTTCCTATGCTCTAGTGACTAGGGGCAGTAGGGTGGCAATTATCCTCTGTGGATATCCATCCACTCAGCTTACCAAGGAGCAGAGTGAGGAAGTATAAGCGCAAGTGATCAAATTTGTTGATCGGCTGGAGGTGGGTGGTATCATCCCCAAGTTTAGTGTCTTCAACCATCATCTGGGGAGATGTATCATTGTCTGGGATGATCAAGTCACCAAAGACTGGATTTATAGTGTAGTGGAGGGCTTTACTATCAGTGGGGGTATTAAACTCCGTGCTGCTAGTGTCGAAGAACTCAAGAAAACTGTCAGGGTAGGGGCATACTTCTCTGGCGAGAAAATTCCGGAGGAGCTACTTCATCGGAGACTTTGGATTCAAAATGGTAGGGTCCCAGACATCGACAGTTGGCAGGTGTTGGGACTTAAGGCAGAAACGAATGGATTCTATGGAATCCTTCGAATCCCTGAAATCAGTATCAAATACTTTGAGGGTGGAAATATAATAGTGATGTACTGCATGGCCAAAGTTGTACTCAAGATAATAGTGATGTACTGCATGGCCAAAGTTGTACTCAAGGTGTTTAAGAAGAAGAAGCCACTTAAACCTAATGCACAGACAGCAAAGCTGGGTACTGCTTCTTTAAAAGTTCCCCAGGCAGAGGAGGTAGAGGGAACTTCTCTGCTTCCACTTGTGAAATTCTAGTAGTGTCTGAGCCAACTGAGGAGTTTAAAACCGTTTAGATCTTCCAAAAGATTCGATTTCCTATCAAAAGTGGTTCTATACAACTTTTTTTGATGAGCATTTTAGAAAATAAATGTAATCGGTTTTGAAACCAAACGTCTCAAATGAGTACAGCTGCCTATGGTGTAAGCTCTTATCACAACCTATTCTCATGTTACAATTTTTATTTTATTTTATGAAAAGTATATAAAAATACTGGCCTACACATATAGGTTTACAGAGGATTTACAGAAAGAACTATAAAAATCTGAAAAAGAAAACCGGTAAAAATATTTAAAAAACGGGAAAAATCTGGAAAAACAGGAAGGAAAATTTTCAGAGGAGAATCACTGGACACCCTGTTTGTTTAAATTATAGTTGTTTACTTTCTCTTACGTTTCTTAGTACTGTTATTTAAAGTTATCAACTACTGTCCATAGGCAAGGTCTTAAAACGGTCTTTGATGAATAGAAAACTGTACAGAAATTAAGAAATAATCTTGCATGATAAGATATTGATAAGTTTTCCTAATCCTTTTTACAAGAATTGAATAAAATTTGTAGTGTTTATGTATACATATTATTAAATTAAAATTTATATTTACAATACTTAAAATTATATATATTCTAGTTTCAGTTTGAAAGAAAGATTTATACATACAGATAATTTATTTAATAAAAACACTAATTTCTTACACAAAAGAAAAATGTATAGTAAATAATAAAATGTTTTTGTTTTTTTTATGAAGAACTTTACTTTATTCATGTTAACTTTAAAGTCAACATTTACTTACTGATTGGCTGAACTCTCTCTCTTTGGGATCCCATTATGTGGAAACTATTTATGCAGTTTTGGTCTTTACTTGTTCATTAAATTCTAAGGAACCCACTGATATACTGATCCAATACATAACTGCTATCTTAGCTGTCCATTACCAGAGGCTTCACTTCTTTACTCCTAGCTGGTAGTTCCTGACTCGACATCCTTAAACCACCATGCCTCATCTATCCCCTCAATGCCACTTAAATTAAATAAAATTCTTGTTATATATATTCTTTTTTTATATAACAAATATTCATTTTAAAGACTATGTGTGTTCAATTAAATGTTAATTGTTCTGATGCAGGAAATTAAGTTTCTTCTCAAATTAATTTTTTACTATTTGTAAAAGTTTTCATGTTTACACAGCACAGTTTTCATTTCAGATTTACCTAAATTAATAATAAAAATTGAAAAATATAACCAACTTAACACATGAAATTTTAATATTTATAGTTCATCAAATATAATTCCAAAAATATTACAATATTTTACCTCATCAATCCAGCCTTTTTTCTAAAACCTATTTAAAATCACTAATATAATCAATATAAATTAGACTAAACATTTATAATTTTTATACATAAGGATGATTTTAACTTTCCTTTGTCATTCTTATTTAATTTGTAAATGCTAAGAGAAATTAATTTGATAAAGGTGGATAATCTACGCTACACTTGGCAACAGTTGCTGTCACGGGCAATGGGAGTTAATACACTGCTTCTTGAAATGCAACCAGCATTCCAAGAAGAATTACAAAATAATCTTGAAAAATTCAGGCAAGACAGTGAAGAATATTGTTTACAATACCGAACTTCTGGTCCTATGAGCCCTGGCCTCTCCCCCAGGGAAGCGAGTGACAGATTGATCATGTTTCAGGTTGAGCAACAATTTTCTCTAATTCATAAAATAGTTGGAAATAAGTTTTATAATTTTAATTTTTCAACATTTCTTATACCTTTTTTTCTTTTAACAATAATTGATTATTTTCATGATGATTGGATTTATATTACTTCACGAATTTCTTACCATTTAAGCAATGCACAAAAACTATTATGAGTCTAGATCAACTTTTGTAACTGTTTTTTTAAACCTCTATTCATTATTTTAAAATATAAAACAAAATTACATAGATGGATTAGTTCATTTATATTCATTTCATAATTCAATGTGAAATTGTGGATAGCCACAGACTACTAGTTTATTTTATTAGTACAAATAATCACTTAAAAACTAAATTATGTTTCAATGAGTAATATATATTAATTGATTAATGGAAAAATGTGGTTTCAATCACCTACCTAAACTTTGAATACTTGTTGTCTCAATGGTGAATGGTATTCCTAAATGGTCATCAAATTCTTGTTTCCAAATCCTTTTAAAATGCGCTATTAGCAAGGAAGACTTCTCTAAAAGTCTGGAGAAAAGGGACAAAAAGACATATTAAAGAGAACTGACTGCACCAGTGTGCTCCCAGTTCAGTTAGGCTGTGGAGGGTTGTTTGCTTGTCATAACAAAATGGTTAATTAATATGTTGAATAAAAAAAAAAAAAATATATATATATATATAATATTCTTTCACCTATCAATTTTTGTAGGCATAAATGGAGCTATATATTGCAGCATATAGTAGAAGTTAACTAAAAATATAATTTAAACTTTTAAAAAAATTGTATTTAATACATAATTCATTTCAATTCTCAGAATCGCTTTGATGGGATGTGGCGAAAACTACAAGCTTACCAAAACGGAGAAGAACTTTTTGGTCTTCCTAATACTGATTATCCAGAACTTGGCCAAATAAGAAAAGAACTTAACTTGTTACAAAAATTATACAAGTTGTATAATGATGTAATTGACCGAGTTAGTAGCTATTATGATATTCCTTGGGGTGAAGTCAATATTGAAGATATTAATAATGAATTAATGGAATTTCAAAATAGATGTAGAAAATTACCCAAAGGTTTGAAGGTACACATTTAAATTAGCAAATAATTTATTTATTATACAAAATAAAAAATATTTATTTCATAAGTGTATATTAATCTGTTTTAGGAATGGCCAGCTTTCCATGCATTAAAAAGAACTATAGATGATTTCAATGATATGTGTCCATTGTTAGAATTAATGGCTAACAGAGCTATGAAACCCAGGCATTGGCAGAGAATAATGGAAGTTACCAAGCACACATTTGACTTGGACAGTGATGATTTCTGTTTGAAACATATATTAGCTGCTCCATTGTTGAAATATAAAGAGGACATTGAGGTAAACAGGACGTTACCTGAGATTATTATAAAGTTAGTTTAGTAAATATAGTTTTAACCTTTAATTTTAATTTATTTGACACAATTCAACTTATATTAAAACTTATCTTCTCATTTACATATCTAGAGGAAGCAAGCAGGAATTCCTAAAATGCAGTGTCTTAGGTATATAGGAAGTATAAAATAACAAATATTCAGGTCATTGGTTCACAGCATTTAACTGACACTTGTTCTTCATTGTTGGGAAGAAAATGAGGTCATAAGCAGTAGATATATTTGGGTAGATAGTCTCCAACTGATAATTGTAGCACTCAATGTAATTTGAGCTTAGTAGCTTACCATATTCTTTAATTGGTTATCGATTGTTGTAAGTCAATTGTGGTTGTAAACGGTTCATTTTGAGCTGTAATACTAATACTGTGTCCTCTTATTTTGTTATCTAAGAGCTATTTACATAAACAAATGATTGCTCCTGGAATGATGCAAGTTTCCATGCATGGAATATTAGTATATAATAAGTAACTCTCAAATTTGAAGGATTTCTCCTTTGTTTTCTCTGTTTAAGGGAAAACAGAGTTCTCAATAGATTTATGCTAATCATGGAAACTAGATTTAAAATTCAAAATCCAATACGATATCTTTTTATAATTTTTCATTAAAATGGATCTTTCTTTCAATTTTGGACAGAAAGACTTATAGTTTAAATACAGGGTTTCATTTGATTCAATTTTTATTTCCGAATACTTAAGTTCTGTAGGGATTTTATATAAAAATAATAATTGAAATTATAATTCATTGAGTACAATAACCAATAAATTGTTAATGTAGTTTTTATTTTAAAACTAAAACTGTCTGAAAGATGGATATTATTGTAAAATTTATAATATAATTAAAATGTTTTTTTTCCCTTAAACTGCAGGAAGGTCAAAACATTTATCCTACTGACTAATAGATCAATTCCTCAGTAGGATGAGAAAAGAATCTCCAAAGAGAAAAAAATAGCAATTATTAATTCTTATTTTCAGGACATTTGTATATCAGCAATGAAAGAAAAAGACATTGAAGCTAAACTGAGACAAGTTACTAATGAATGGTCAATTCATGAGCTCACTTTTATGACTTTTAACAACCGTGGTGAATTATTATTGAGAGGTGATACTACAGCAGAAACTATTGGTCAACTAGAAGATAGTCTTATGGTCCTTGGGTCTCTTTTATCTAATCGGTAATTTTCTGGTCTTCAATATTTAAACATTTATTTATTTATCGGCTCAACAGGGGTCTGAAGCTTCCCTTGGCCCTCACAACTACCCTTTCCCAATCATTTTAGTGAGCAGCATGTCTGATGGATACTCCCACCATCATCAAGTCCTCGGCCACAGAGTCCTTCCACCTTCCTTTAGGTCTTCCATGAGGTCCGACTTTATCTGGGGTTCCATAATATAATTTGCTCACGGCTCTACCTTCATCCATTCTGATAATGTGTCCCAGCCATTTTAAGCGCTGAATTCGCACAAAATGAGAAACTCGGAGATTGTCAAATAAGTCGTAGATCTCTTTTTTCTTTCTTAAACGGCATGTACAATTCTCTTTAACTGGCCCCATGATAAGCCTCAACACTTTTCTTTCAAAACTGTCAATCTTTTCAGCCAGGCTTTTGCACAGGGTCCAAGTTGCACTGGCATAGGTCAGTACAGTTTGGATGATTGTTTTGTATATAATCATTTTGGTACCTCGACTTAGTAGCTTACTTCAGAGGAAACTTCTTAAGGTGAAATATGCTTTGTTAGCCCACATTACACGATTTTGAATTTCTTCTTCTTCGTCCACCTGATCATTAATGATGGAGGCGAGGTACTTAAAACTGGACATGCATTGAAAAATACATTGCCCCACTACATAATGCTTAGGCGGATTTATAGGTTTTTTTTCCTGAGCACCATAATTTTTGTTTTTCCTCATTTATGGATAGTCCACAATTCGATTATATAAAACAACAGAACATATTTTGTAAACAGTATTCAGGAGGCTTATTCCCTAATAATAGTGCAGTCTGTGGAAGCACCTTTCTTTTTGAGTAAGGGAATGGTGAACGATTACTTCCAGCTATCTGGCATTTTATCAGTCTCCCAGGTATTAACTATCAGATGAGTCTACTCCTCAGCCAGTACTGACCCACCAATCTTCAAAAACTCCGCTGGTATGCCATCTGAACCTTGTTATTCTTGAAATTGTCAACAATCAGACCAACCTCCTCTCTGGTGGGCTCACTTCATGGTCATTCTAAGTGTCTCGAAAATCCTTATCAGGATACTCGTCATCTTCCCTGGGGTTTAGCAATTCTTGAAAATGCTCCATCCATCTATCTTGCACATGCTGATCCTGGAAGACCATTTTCCCATCAGAACGTTTTATCATTGTACAGTTATATATAAGCCTGATTTTATTTTACTTATTTCACCGAAAAACTTTCTGACCTCATTGTTACTGCTGTGCTCTTCCACCTTACGCCAGTTTTCCTGTAATGCATATCTTTTCTTTTGCATCAGAACCTTTTTTGCATTAGATCTGACTTCCTGGTACTCCTTTCTGTTCTGTTTAGTATCTCTGTTTAGAAGTTTTTTCATCTTTTTGTTCCGCACATTAACTGCTTCTTCAAACCACGCGTTTTTTAAATTTCTGTTTCCATCCTTCTTACAATGTTGGTTGGCTAAATCAGATATAGCTTTTTTAATATGATTTCATTCCTCATTCACATCCCTTCCTCCAATTACAGCTGAGATGTTACCTACCCTTCTTTCAACATCTCTCAGAAAAGCATACCCTATTTCCTCTTTCTTTAACTTTTCTCTTGCCCAGGTGATCTGCAGTTTACCTCTTTCAAACATCCTTATCTTATATGCATGTTAAATTTTTTCAACTACCAGAAAATGATCAGAACAGGTGTCTGGTCCCCTATATGATCTCATATCATTAACTAAATTAAAATGTCTACTAGAGACCAGATCGTGATCGATCTACGTTACAGTTCCATTTGGTGAAATTCATGTTTGCATGTGTTTTTCTTTGTGAGTAAATACAGTACTTATCGCTACTGGTGGTCTAGATGCAGCCAAACTAATCATTTGTTCTCCATTATTATTTGTCTTCACATGCAAGCTATATTTGCCAATAGTAGGCGCAAACACTAGTTCTTTACCAACTTGAGCATTAAAATCACCCAAAACTGTTTTCATATCAAAGGAGGGAGAAGCAGCTATAGTCCATTCTAAATCTTCATAGAAAAGGTCTTTTTCTTCTGTTGGGACATGAACATTTATCAGAGTGATATTAAACTTTTTCTCTTGAGTCCTTAACTTGCACAACCTTTTGTTAATTGGTTGGAAATCAAGAACTGCTTTCCTCATTTGTCTTGATACGATGTAAGCTGTACTGAACTCATGTCTATCCTGGTCTCCACTGTAAAAAATATCAAAATTGTTTCCACTTTGCTTTCCAAAACCGGTCCAACGTGTCTCCTGAACAGCAGTTATATCTAAATTTAATTGTTGCAGTTGTTTTTTCAGGTCTGTCCATGCTCCAGGTCTATAGAGTGATCTTACATTCCATGTTCCAACTTTATAAGCCATATAACGAGTTCCAGGCTGTTTACATAAATTCGTCCGAAATCCGAGGCTAGACTGTTGAGAATAAGTAACCTGTAGTTTTTTTTATAAACGATGGGTAGTCAGCCCCTCTTTAACCCTCCTGTTTTATCTGGGCTTGGGACCGGAAATGGAGTCTAGTTAACTAACTTCACAGGCACAATTAAACATAAATTTATAATAAAATTCTATTTTATAAGTTAACGTATTGACTTATAGCTATAAAATCTATTTTTGTTTTTCTTAGTCCTAATTTTTCTTGATTAAAAATTTTATCCTCTGAAAATAATGTTAACAAAAATAACTTATTAATTTTATTTTATGTTTTCTAGATATAATGCCCCATTTCGGAAACAAATTCAGCAATGGGTTACAGACCTGGGGAACACCAATGAAATACTAGAAAGATGGCTACTTGTTCAAAATCTTTGGGTATATCTTGAGGCTGTTTTTGTTGGTGGTGATATTGCTAAGCAATTGCCTAAGGAAGCTAAAAGGTTTAGTAAAATTGATAAATCTTGGCAAAAAATAATGCAACGAGCTCATGAAACTCCAGGAGTTGTGTCATGCTGTGTTGGTGATGATATGTTAAAACAGTTGCTTCCTCACTTGCAAGAGCAATTAGAGCTTTGTCAAAAATCTCTCAGTGGGTAAGGGAAAAAAAATCAGTTTTTGAAGAAAAAATAATTATATATTATAAATAAAATGCTATTTTTATACATTATTTTTGAAAAAGGGTTAGTTTTAATAGTTATTAGTTGTTTTAATAAGATTCTGCTATATGAAATAATAGCAGATGCTTTAACTACTTTTAAATTTTAATTTTCATCAATTTCCTTATTCATATTCACATAAAAGAGATAATTTTTAGGTATCTTGAAAAGAAAAGGATGATGTTTCCAAGATTTTTCTTTGTTTCTGACCCTGCTCTATTAGAAATTCTTGGACAAGCTTCTGACTCTCATACAATACAAAATCATTTGTTATCTATTTTTGACAACACTCGATATGTCAAATTTCATGATATAGAGTACAATAAAATGACTGCAATAGTTTCATCTGAAGGCGAATGTATACAAGTCTGTAAAAATTCTACCTTAAAAATATAATAAAAACAAAAAAACTACTTTTCATTAAGTATCTATATTAATTTTATTTGAACTTATAACTGTAGTTGGAAAGAACTGTCAGAGCAGAAGGAAGTGTTGAAACCTGGCTTACAGCTTTACTGCAATCATCTCAAGCATCACTGCATGGTATAATAAGGAATGCTTACACTATGATCAATGATGCAAATTTCAATATTTTGACGTTTTTAGATAAGAATCCTGCCCAAGTAATTTATTAAATCATCCAAATTCTGTTAATGTAAACTTATGATGTAGATAATTAACATTTATAAAAGATTTTTGTTAGGTCGGTTTACTGGGAATACAAATGATATGGACCCGGGACTCAGAGATTGCTCTCTCTCAAGCAAGAAGTGATAAAAAGATTATGGCAGAAATGAACAATAAGTTTTTGGAATTACTAAACACACTTATAGATCAAACTACGCGTGATCTTACAAAACTTGAAAGAATAAAATTTGAAACACTCATCACTATACATGTCCACCAAAGGGATATATTTGATACCCTAGTAAGTTATTGCTTACTAGTTACTTATAGTTTATTGCTTTCAAATTATTTTACTCTCTATTGCTTGTAATTTTAATATGAAGATTTTTTAATATATATATATATATATATATGTAAATGGAATTTCAAAACTCTAACCACTTTTCAAAATATTCTTCTGATTTGTTACATAAAATAATATATTACATATAAGTTCATTATCATTAAGAGTTTTTAATTTCCAATATGATTCCATTGCGAGAAATATATTAACATAATGTACACAATGTTTCTAGGAGATCATTTTATGAAGATAGTTCATAAAAACAACTCAATGAAAGTGAAATTTAAAAAAAACAGTGTTTCAAATTAATATTTTACAAAATTCGAAGGTAAATTTGAGGGTGTCCACACTGCGCATGTACGATTTTATATTATTAATTAATTATGTTCTGACTGGAGCGTGCAATTGGCCTTCATGGCCAAGGTGCATTTTTCCACAAAAAAAATAGATGTATGATTCTCGACATGGAATTCTCTGGGAGTAAGAAATGAAATGAAGCTGATCCACCTGCCGTGGACAGAGGAAACACAGTGATTTTATTATCTAAGAATAAAAATTCTAGTCAGGCATTCACCAGAAATTAGCCCACCTGATGCAAGTATGATTGCGCAGCATAGTGATAGAAACCTATCCTAATATACATCTCGTACAATTTATTTAAAAGAACCTAATATTTTTTTTTCAATATTAATTTATGTTAAAAGACGTTGGCTGTTGCAGCCAATCTATATTCATCTTTTAAATTAGAACCCAAATTTTTTTTATATATAGGAAATAAAACTGACAAAAATAAATAAATAAAATCATAGGAAATAAAAAAATGGAATTGTGAACTATTTCTTGATTAGCCGAAATCTGGATGTCCTGGCTAGCTGGTAATTAGGACTAAGAGATGCCAGGAAGTAGTCCAATAGGATCCAATTATTCATTAACCAGTTTTGGGCAACCATATTAAATAATTAACAATTTAAAATGTTTTGCTGTTTTTATATTCTAAACTAAACTAAACTAATTATAAAATCATATTCTGCATGTTATACATGCAGAATATGATGAAAAAGTTAAATATATAAAAATTGCTGATATCTTGAAATTTCTCAGAAACTAAATGTGTGTTTCTTACTAAAATCATGACATTCTTTTTGTGATATCCCTATTGAGTGCCTTACTTTTGGAGCCTTTTTATTCTATTAAAATAAGTTAAATGGTGAAAGATGCTCCGATATGCTTACGCAGAAGGGACACATACATTAAAAGAGTACCTTCCCAACACTTCTTGAACATTCTAAAAGCTTTATATTCTTAAATAATCGCCAATGGATCCCAAAAACTGCATGTTTGACTGTACAACTCAGAAGCAAATTCTTAAAATTAAACAATGTTTTATGTCAATTTAATCAATATAGATTTTTCATGTAATTCATTGTCAACTTTTGTACAATTCACTAAGGAACTTTGAAGGATAAAATAAAATACTTGAATTCATATTGTTTTATCCAAAGGACCATAATACTAAAAAAATATTTTTGAATTAAATGTATTCAAGTTTATTATTTATTTTTACAGGTTCGTATGAATGTTAAATCTGTGAATGATTTTGAATGGCTAAAACAATGTAGATTTTATTTCAAAGAAGATTTAGACAAGACTTGGATAAGTATTACTGATGTTGTTTTTATTTACCAAAATGAGTATTTAGGATGTACCGATCGTCTTGTAATAACACCTCTTACTGACAGGTAATATTTTGAAAAATACTGTTTTTAGAACTATGATATTTCAATAAATAATTTTTATTTAGGTGCTACATAACATTGGCTCAAGCATTGGCTATGAGCATGGGTGGAGCTCCTTGTGGTCCAGCAGGTACAGGAAAAACAGAAACTGTTAAAGACATGGGTAAAACTCTTGGAAAGTATGTTGTGGTTTTCAACTGTTCTGACCAAATGGATTATAAGGGCCTTGGAAGAATCTATAAAGGTATCACCTACGAGTATGTTGATGAAAAATAGTTAGAACACTTTTCTAATTAATAAATAAAAAGATAGTTTTAATACCTATAGATAGGATGTCCCAAGATGGAATGTCTATATTTTAGGGACAGATAGTATACAAAAATATATTTCAGTGCCACCAATTGCTCTTTCCTATTTCAATTCATTATTTAGACATATTTAAAATTTTATTGGTGGTCTTCTCTTTATATATATGATGAAGGTATTGGCAAATTTATTTGACTTTCATTAATTTCCTTTATTAATAAAAACATTATGACGTTTTTTAATAACATTTTGGGGGTTCCTTCTGCATCTTCAAAAAACTTTTAATTAATTGTATTTTTAAAATTCTAATTTGTCAGTGGTTGTAAAAAGATTATTTATTAAATTATAATTGCTAGAGAATTCTTTTGTTCTGAAGTTGGGAATTTAGTTTTTCTTGGAAAACTCTTTTAAAAAATTATGTCTTGACAACAAATGAAGATAGGATGTTACATTTGGCAGCACTAAACTAGATTTGTGGTTGACAATACATCCCTCAATTACTAACATTTTCTCCCATGGAAACCTTTTATAAGATTTATGTATAAAAATATTGTCATTATAGGACTCGCTCAGTCAGGTACTTGGGGCTGTTTTGATGAATTTAATCGGATCGAGCTCCCAGTGTTGTCAGTTGCAGCACAGCAAGTAGCTGTTGTTCTCAATGCTAAGAAAGAGAAGAAAAAACAATTTCATTTTACTGATGGAGATCTTGTTGACATGTGCCAAGAATTTGGTATATTTATTACAATGGTGAATCATTTAGTTTATTTATTGTAGTTATGATTCATATATACCTAGTTTTCTAAATATATTGCTTTATAGAATCCAGGATATGCCGGAAGAAAAGAACTGCCAGAAAACTTAAAACTACAGTTCAGAACAGTTGCTATGATGGTACCTGATCGTCAAATTATTATTCGTGTGAAATTGGCTAGTTGCGGCTTTCTAGAAAATATTACATTAGCCCGCAAATTTTATACACTTTACAAGCTTTGTGAGGAACAGCTTACTAAACAGGTGAGCTATGTTTATGAGTAAAACTTGCTTGTGATTTATGTATTCTTTTCTTTCTAGTCTAGTTTAGATCTCTTCAGCTACCTTTTACCAATAATTTATTTTATCCTCTCTTATTCTATAGATTATTATTTTATCTATTCTGTTTTTCTTATAAATTTCCTAAAAATCTTCATCTTACTAACAAGAAATATTCCTTTATCAATCATTAATTCTATCCTCTATTTTCATTAAAAACGACTTGTGTTAATCCAATTTAGAATAAATTATCTTTTCTGGATTTATAAGATACCGACTTTGAAATCAGAAGTTCTTTTTAACCCTTCTTAAAGCCTACTTGGGATATCCGTGAAAAGGATTTATTCGTTGTTCTCTGAAGATTGGTGGTAATTGAAACTGGTAGAAGGTACCATTGTCCTAAATGAACTCTGGTCACTACTATTTTTTTTTTTTCGTCCTCACAAAAAACAATATCTTTTTCTCTTTTTTTTTTACTTTACTGTTAGTCAGGCCATGTTACAGTATGTTGTTCTATCTCAGAAGTAATTATTTGAATTGATTATAAGTTTAATACATTTTTGCTATGGTAAAAACTTATTACTGGACTAATTTCACCAATATTTTATAGTTAATTTGTCCCAGTTTGTAGTTTAGAGTTCTTATTCAGTGTCATTACATGTTTTATTTTATAAAACATTATTGTCAGATTTAATTTCTATATTCAATTGGAAGGATTATCATCAGATTTTTTATTTTATATATTTGTTAGGAACTTTTCTACTTGTAACAAGGGTTCTACACTGACAGGCAAAAAATTCCACCCACTTGATTTTTTCATGTTTACATCTAAAAATATTTCTGCTTTGGATTGTTCTATTGTTTTTAATGAATAAATAGGTAATCTTTTTGTTTGTTTTCAATTAGGAATATTAATATAGAGGACAATAACCCTTAATCCTTAATTCAATGAAATGATTCTAGATTCCAATGTTTACTTTCTATGGAATCAAAATGTTTATTCAGTATCATTAGTTCAGTGGCGTTTCTTGCAGCACATTTCTTAGTCTCCGGCTTTTAATTTTTTCAATATTAAATTTAAAAATGCCTCTTAGTGCTGAGGATGTTGCACGTGGTGTGGCACTTATTGATGATGGACGTTCCATTGGATATGCAGCTAATGCCATCGGAGTTTCTTATGAAACTTTACGAGACGCCGTCAGACGTTTTCGGAAAACTGGTTCTTACAATAGAAGGCCCGGTTCTGGACGGCCTAGGGTAACAGAACCACGGGATGACCGGTTTTTGACTTTGAGAATTTTACGAAACCGGCACCTTACCGTTGTTCAAGCGAAAGATCGCCGATTTCGTTGAGGATAGGCAACACATGAGGTTCCAAAATCTCATCTACATAGCGAATGGCCGTCAAAGACCCTCTACGAACAACAACCAATTCTGTGCGGCACTCCATTGAAATCGCAGCCCACACCATTAAGGAACCAAGTTGGAAAGGTTGGCTCTGGGAAAAATTATAGGCTGCATATCTTTCGTTTCTTCTTCTCCACACCCTTTCACACCCGTCTGGAGATCGAAGAGCAAATCTTGACTTGTCTGTAAAAAGTACAACACTCCATTCGTCCATAGTCCAATGGCTGTGTTCTCGAGCAAAAACCAACCGTGTTACTCTGTGAGTTCTGGTCAACTCTGGTCCTCTTACTGGATGAAAAGCCATTAATCCATACTCATTTAATCTTCTCTAAACGGTACATTCAGAAACTTGCACACCTCGAACTTCTTCAAGCTGATGAATCACAATCTTGAACAACGGTAATTTGCCGGTTTCGTAAAATTCTCAAAGTCAAAAACCGATCATCCTGTGGTTCTGTTACCCTAGGCTGTTCAGAACTGGGCCTTCTATTGTAAGGACCAGTTTCCCGAAAACGTCTGACGGCGTCTCGTAAAGTTTCATATGGAACTCTGATGGCATTAGCTGCATGTCTAATGGAACGTCCATCATCAATAAGTGCCACACCACGTGCAACATCCTAAGCACTAAGAGGCATTTTTAAACTTAATATTGAAAAAATTAAAAGCCGGAGACTAAGAAATGTGCTGCAAGAAACGGCACTGAACTAATGATACTGAATAAACATTTTGATTCCATAGAAAGTAAACATTGGAATCTAGAATCATTTCATTGAATTAAGCATTAAGGGTTATTGTCCTCTATATTATCATCCCTAATTGAAAACAAACAAAAAGATTACCTATTTATTCATTAAAAACAATAGACCAATTTAAATAAAAATAAATTAATTTTATTAATCTATTTAATAAAAATAGATCAAGTGGGTGGAATTTTTTGCCTGCCAGTGTATTATAAACAAATTAACTTCTAGTTTTCAATCATCATTTTTACATTTTTTTAAATAGAATTGTGTTTAACATAATTTATTATACAACATCTTTCTATAATGTTCTAATAAAAGTGAAAAAAATAAATATATATAATATAAATTTTTTTTTTTTATTGAACCAGACACGATACTCTTGCGCCATCTTTGTTCCATTACTTGAGTCCTCTGTATTGCCTCATCATTTCTGTTTCAATGGCCTCCATGTCACCCAAATGCCACCCTTGAAGCACCTTCTTGCATATGAGAACTAAGAAAAATTAGATTGCAAAGGCTGTTCCATCTCGGTAATCAAATATGAGACCAAATGCAACCACAACTAGCAAGGTGTACAAAGGGGCATTCTTGTGGTGGTGGATTCAACACTTCCCATATTTCATCGAAACCAAGCCTCAAGAGGTATCTGATAACTTCAACATACAAATTTTCATTAACAATTTGTCCTAGAAGGACAGATTCTTGGTACCCCGAAAAAAATAATCAGAATTTTTTTACATTAAACCTTGATTTCTTTAGCCCCCAGTTTGTCTCCATTCCCTGCTTTTTGATTTGAGCTCCAAATCAAATTTTTAAAATCAAACTAATATATCACTTTACAACATGCCACCTTCCATGGTTTTCTTCCTGAAGACAAAAGTTTTGGAAAGATTTCCTCTTCATTCTTGCACATTTCTTCAATATATTTATATGAACTTTCTGGTCAAAACTCATTATCATCCTTATAAATATAATTTAGAATATGACTTATTTAGATATGTATCTATTTTTTTTTTTTTTTTTTTTTTTTTTTGTGATCTTTTGAGCAAACTTTATTTTTATTGGTGTTAGGTTCACTATGATTTCGGATTAAGAAACATTTTATCAGTGTTACGTTCTCTTGGAGCAGCAAAAAGAGTTAATTTCAAGGACTCTGAAAGTACAATTGTTATGAGAGTTTTAAGAGATATGAATTTATCAAAATTGATCGGTAATTATATAATTTTTTTTTTAATATTTAGTTATTTTAGTGGAAGTATATTTGTTTTTAAATGTAATAATATCTTTTTGTAGATGAAGATGAACCTCTATTTATTTCTCTGGTTGCTGATTTATTCCCAAACCAGTCATTGGAGAAGACAACATATCCAGAACTAGAAGCTGCAATCACGGAACATGTTGAAGAAACTGGTCTTGTTTATCACCCTCCTTGGGTTCTTAAAATCGTACAGGTATTTTTCAAAATATATTTTCTTGGATAGAATTTACTATTTATTGATTGTGCATATTTAATGGTTGGCTTTTACAATAGTCTTCAGTTCTCTAAAAATGCTTGAGTTAGCTGATATTGCTTCTCCATTATCTGAAATAGCTGATGTTGCCACGCAAGTGATAATGTGTATGTGCGAACACACATAATTGAGTTCAAAATATGAACGTTATAGAAAAGGGTTTTAAATATGGTCCTTGTTTACTCATTCTGAGTGCTATGAGCCATAATATTTCCATACTTCCCCCTAGCCAAATTTTCTTTTAACTCCCTTCTTCACTTCTATTGCATAATACTCCTAATTTCATATTAGCTCTTTCTTTACCTCCATTGGATTTATGACAGTGTTAAAATTGCTTGGAAAATTACTGAATAAAAAGTCATCAAGATTTAGAAGATGCCCTTTCTTAAACTGTTTAAGATCCAAATAATCCAATGTTACAGTCAATGAAACTATGCTCTTATAACTCAAGAAAACTATGCCAATAATTACATCAATTAACCCCAGACCACACTTTTAGATTTATAGATGAAACATTTTAAAAAGAAATTTAATGCAGGTTTAACAGTTTGGTTCTGGATATAACATTTCTAGATATAACTGTGTATTTTCCTAGGTATATTAAATATTGTTCTAATCGGATCTTACTGTAACTATTCCACAGTTTTTTAGCGACAGATGAATAGGTAGGATAGGTTTAATATAGAATTAAGTTTATCTTCTGATTCAGCAACTAACCCTAAATGAAGTTAATAAAATCAATAGTATTACTATTAAATAGTATTTAATTTATGTATTTTCTTTTTTAGCTTTATGAAACACAAAGAGTAAGACATGGTATTATGACCTTAGGTCCAGAAGGTGCTGGAAAAACAACTTGTATACATACCTTAATGGCTGCTCTAACCAAATGTGGAGATTACCACAGGTAAAATAATTCCTAATGAGTTACATTTTTAGTTATATAGATTCCTGGCTTATCTGAAAACTGTTTAAGCACGAAGGTGGAGAATTAATGAGATGATTGCAGTCTCTTATTGGCATATGGCAGAGGAAAGAACTTCCCAGCAAATGGTATAAAACTGTTATATGCCTCATTTAAAAAAAAAAGATACATTATTTGAATACATATGGATTTTACTGTGAAATATTTTTGTAAATAGCTTCAAAAACCTCAAGGATTCTGTTTGAGAGACTTATACCCAAAGAAAAAAAGGTTCCTATCATGTAGAATTCATGTTAGGCAAGTCCATCACAGATGTTCTCCCTCAGAACCTAACTAGAAAAGGCAAGGAGATTCAAGATTAGCAAACATCACCTATTAATAGATTCCTTAGGAAGACTGCTGATGAAAATTTTTCAAATGAACATATCTACAATGTTCCCACCAAGGAATCTCACCAAAACTAATTGATCTTATCTACATGATGATGAAGTATAGTGCTTTGTACTAGTTCTAGGAGGTAACTCAGAGTAATTTCACATACACAAATGGCTCAGTCAGACAAAGAAACTGCCTGACCTGCCATCTTTATAGCTTCAATCTGGAATGTGCAGTATTGGTATTGGGCATTTGAATGGTCAGATGTATATTAGTCAATACAACTTGTATCCATAGAAGCATTAGGAAGGAGCTGGAAGGAGGAAAGAAGGTCAGCGATGATTGATAGCCATAAGACCATAAGGAGGACAAACAAGGTGCAGCCCCATTAGAAGATGCACTTGCAGCCGAGCTTCAGATGTCTTTACTTGTAAATGTCTTGTTTGTACATCATGTAGGACTTACTGTTATTGACATAAAAGGTATAGGAACTTGGAGAATTGAAAGCCAGTATCAAACAATGTTTTAGTTTAAGATCATATAAGCATATATTATCTACTTTACTAAATAATTGAAGATAAAAGACAATTTTTATTATTAAAAATTATTTTGTATAATTTATAATTATTAAATTTCCTAAGTAACTAATACATTTTATTAAACTACCTAACTTAATGGCACTACAACCCTTGTTGAACTTTGGTTTCACTTACGTCATAACTGTCTATCTTACACCTTCCTTCCCTATCCTCTTACTACCATTGGTCTCAAATCGTCCTCTACCTCATCCAACCATCTCAGCCTTGGTCTTTCCATCAGTCTCGTCCCATCTGGCTTGTCATTCATAACCTTTTTTGGAAGCCTTTTATCTGGCATCCTTTGAACATAGCCCAGCCATTATAACCTTTCTTCTTTGATGATGGCCACAATATTGGGCTCACCAAAGAACTGTTTGAGCTCTCTATTTATTCTTATTTTCTAATGTTCATTCTTATTTACTAGGCCAAATATCTTTCAGAGCATCTTTCTCTCCCAAACACTCAGGATTATCTCGCTCTCCTTAGTCGTCACCCTTGCTACCACACTTGCTTCCATATGTCACCACTGGTCTTATTATAGTCTTGTATTTGATGATTTTGGCAATGAAGACAATACTTGGAATTTAAGCACCTTATTAAGCTCAGAAAGACATCTGCCACCAACTGCTATTCTAATCGCCTATTCGAGAGCCAGGTTGAGTAGTATGGGCAACAGTGGGTCGCCTAGTTTCAGTCTGCCTGTCACATTAAACTCTTCTGATTGAACTCCATCACCTCTTGACTGAGATTTTATTTCCTTCCACGTCATTTGAATTAACCTAACCAGCTTTAGCGGAAAGAAAATAGTAATACATTTTATTACTGTTATATAATGTGGGATTTATGTGAGAAATATGAAAGATTGTGTTTCCTGTTTTATAGGGATAATTTTGGTTTTAAACTTTATCTGGAAGAGACTAAGTACTATAAGTTCAAGTAGAAAGGATATGCCGAGGATGACTCTCTCGAAGCAGCAAAAGTATATTTGTTTTAAAGGTCTCAAATAAAGAGCTCTGATATAGGCCTAAAACTGAGGCCGAGATCTGTGTCCAGCAGTTTCATCTGCTTTGGTTTATACAGGTCTATTTCATACACATAATCTGCACACTGTAAAGTGCGCAAAATATTATTATATTCCCAAAAATTTAATTATTTTAATTAATATTGTCTACAAATAATGGTTTTTCTTAGGTTAGGAGTTCGCAATTGGAAGAGAGTAGCACAGGACAGAGAGAAGTGGAGAAGAATAACTCAGGAGGCCAAGGGTCATGCTGGCCTGTAGCGCTGGGGAGTTAGTTAATATTATTTTTAATTAAGTGGTCACCTTAGATGTTATCACTTTTAAAATTTATTTATACATTGCAAAAAAATTTGATAAAAAAAATTGTTTTTTGGGAAACTGTACCAAACATTCCGCTATGAAAGAGTTAAGTTAAGATGAACTAACTCACTAATTTATAGCCACAGGACTGGAGGGGAGGCTGAAGAAACTTATGAATTGGTTCATAAGATTCATCTTTGGGATCCCCAAGCGAGCTTATGTTTCTTTTTGGTAAATCGAGTTGAAGTGCTTTATCCTACTTCCTGACGGCAATTCCTTCTTGGTGTTTTTCTTTTTCAAGTCATCAGAACCAAAACATCTTAAAACTCCTTACTTTACGCTCCTCTATTAACTCTCTCAACACCAGATCTCAATCTATAGATTTATATATCACCTCCCATAAAACCACTTCCTTCAGTAAATCCTTTGTCATTCATGCCTCCTCCTTCTGGAACTCCTTACCCATCTCCATACGTCAAACCACATCCATAAACTCCTTGAAACAACTCCTATTCCACCACCTACTACAAATTATTATTCTAAGGGAACTTCAGTCCCAGAATATAATCATTTTCATTTCATTTCATAATTGCAAAAAGTCTGATTATTAGTTATAGACACAAATAAATAACATTAGTTGAAATGAAAAAGTCATCAGGTTATTAAATTTTTATAACCTGAAGTGTTATACCTCACAATAGATTTTGTTATTCTGCTTCAAATAAAGCTGTGTATAATAAAAATTCAAACTTTTTGCAGTTAATGAGTTTTGTCTGAAGAGGTACAATATGCCTTGAAGAAACCTTTACTCCAGAAAGATTGTTAGTTATTATATTTCCTAAATTTTATAATTACTGTGCCAAATAAGTTTTTGTAACAAGACATGGGGAAATATAGTTTCATAATGTCTTTATATTTAGATACAATTTTTTTTCAGTTACTTATTTGGTGTTAATTACTTGTAGGGAAATGAGAATGAATCCGAAAGCTATAACAGCTGCACAAATGTTTGGAAGGCTGGATGTAGCAACTAATGATTGGACTGATGGTATATTTTCAGCATTGTGGAGAAAGACACTCAAATTAAAAAAAGGTCATTATAAAAATGAGTAGACTATTTATTTAAAGTAACCTAGTTCAAAAGTTTTAAATTAATTTTAGGAGAATATGTTTGGTTAGTTCTTGATGGGCCAGTTGACAGTATTTGGATTGAAAATTTGAATTCAGTCCTTGATGACAATAAAACTTTAACACTTGCTAATGGTGATAGACTAGGGATGGCAGCAACTTGTAAAATTATTTTTGAACCACATAATATTGACAACGCCTCACCTGCCACCGTGTCCCGAAATGGAATGGTATGATCCATTATTATTGTTACTTTTTTAAAAGTGTTTTCTTATATATTTTTAATTAGAAAATAAACACAAATGCAAACAAATTAACTATTAAAATAACTTTTAGTCTTGTCAAATGAATGCATTGAGGAAAATTGCTAGACAGGTTTCTTCAGTCAGTGGTATTTAAATTAAATTAAATATTTGAAACTAAAGTTTCTACTTTGTTGTCTCTTGTGAAGTTATTGAAAATAATTAAGTCATAACTAACAGTAATTAGCAACTCAATAGTTTTGTACAAACCTATTTAAAAAGTAATGTAGAGGTATCATTCTCTTCTAATTCTCTAACTAGATATTTTCTCTTCACTAAAGGTGTACATGAGCTCATCCGGTTTAGACTGGCAACCTGTTATCGAAGCATGGCTGAAAACTAGATCTCCAATTGAACAAAGCGTATTTCGTTTATTATTTGATAATTCCTTCCTATCAGCATATACTTATGCTACTCAAAATCTAAAATTTTCTATGAAAGTATTACAATGTAATATAATTCAGCAAGTAAGTTTCTCAAACATCATATTTAATATTGTTGATTTTCTCAGTTACATTTTTGTTTTTTGGTGTGTTGTTGCTTTCTCATGTTATTATAGATCGTAATATTGATGCAATCCTTAGTTCCTGTTGAGCAAAAAGTTGCTAAAGGAGAAGATGAAGAAGAAAGCGAAGAAACATCTGAACCACCCATCCCAACTTTAAAGTATATATATATATTTTTGTAGTATTTTATATTGTATCCATTTGTTCAAATCAAATTAAAAAAACAATTCTTTCTATATGCTTTATTATTATTATATGTATTATTATTATTATTGTTATTTATTTGTTTTGCACATTACATGGTTGTTTGTAATAGTTGGGGACCAAATTGGTCAACCGAATATTACATTAATATATTTTCAAAATCATTTTATATTTCTAAATTTCTGAACAACACTTGCTCTTCCCAACAATACTGCCATTTACATTTTTCCATTGTCACAAATGGCAAGTCCAACTTATGCAAAGAACATTGAGATTCTTCTGGTATTAACTCATTACATAAAATTACTAGCGGTAGCATCCGGCTTTCCTTTAAATCATACAGTTGTTTTAATTCTTCCACCAATTCTACATACTTTCTTCTTTTTTTTTTCTGCCACTAATTTGTACAGATTATCATCTGAAAGAACTCCAATTTCTATAATAGATGCTATTTTCTTTTCTTTATTGATTAATAGAATGTCAGACCTATTGTGTGAGACAGTGTGATCTGTAAGTATAGGTTGATCCCAGAATAGTTTGACATTACGCTTGGATATGATTGATTCAGGATGATATTTGTAATACTGACAATAGTTATCCTTCAGTTCCAGCTTCTGAACCATGGCTTGATATACTACTTTAGCTGCATTGTTATGCTTCAGTAAATATTCTTTACCCACCATTATAGTGCATCCAGAAGTTATATACTGAATCGACTCCACTGATTTTTTGCATAGACGATATAAGTCATTAATATTCTCTCTACAAATATACTTGTGGCTATTACCTGCTTTTGGATAGCCCGCAAGAATTCTTCGGTTTCTGGAAAAAATATTGCCACTTTAAAGCCATGTTAACGATGCCTGATTGTCTATTCCTGTCCCTGTCAGTGAATGATAAAATCGCCCATGCAATGATTTATCTTTCCATTTTTCAGTTAATGAACATAGTCTGTATCAATATTTGGGGTCTAAGCACTTAGTATATTTAGAGCTATGTAATTTGCATCTAGTGATGCAATAGTTGAGAAGATGGTAGAGGTATGACGTCTGATGTAAACCCTAAGGTTATTTTCTTCTTCCCGGCTTAACTTCAAGAGGCTGATGAGACCATGCCCTTCCTTCTTCCTAGGAAGATATAATCTTGCCACTGATGATTTTGGATGTATTTTCCTTGATAGCACCATATTAGGGTCCATGATTGGACCCTAAGAAAGCGATCTAACTTTTCTAAATCAGTTTTAGTCCACTTTAGTACTCTAAATGAGTAAGCTTAAGCTGTTACTGCCTGTGTATTTCATGCTCTAATTAAATTCCTTCCATTTAAATGGGATTCAAGTACTAATTTGATTTTTTTCTCAAATTTGTCCTCAAAGAATTTCTTGGAATTGCTCTTAAATTTCAGAAGTTGGTGCATTCCTAGGTATTTTTAAGATCAAGTTCTCTCATCTGATTAATTACATCTTCTGAAAGCTCTATATCATTCCCTTTAGCAATCCTGCCTTGTTTTACATATATTACTGCACATTTATCTATTCCCAGATCCATTCATATGCCAGTGCTGAATGTTTCTACTATTTTTAAAAGAGCTCTCATTTCATCTTCATTGCTAGCATAAAGTTTGAGATTATCCATATAGAATGAATGGGAGAGCTTCGTTTCAGAATTGAGGTGGTATCCCTTACCTGTATCCTCCAATAGTTTGCTGAGTGGATTGAGTATCAAACAGAACCAAAGGGAACTAAGGGAGTCACCTTAAAAAAATATCCCTTTTTATAGGTATATATTCATTGGCACTTAATCCATTCCAATTTGGTGTGCAGAGTCATACCTTCCAAATTTGCATTAAACATTTTAATAAATCTATTATTGTCTTGTCTTCTTTATAGATCTTCAGAACTTCCAAAAGACATTCATGTGGAACTGAATCGAATGCTTTACGGTACTCAATCCAAGATAAAGCAATATTGCGAGATCTTTTTGGAACTTGAGATGCAATAAACAAATCTATCGACAGAAGTTCTTTGCATCCTCTTGAACCTGGTTTATTACCTAGCTGTTCCACTGACAGGATGGTGTTTCCTTGTTTTGAATGTAATCAGTCAACTTGTTTCTGATGACAGCCTTAATAGCTTATATACACCATTTAAACAAGTTATAGGTCTCAGATCCTGAGACTCCAATTTTTCCTTATTTGCTTTTCTTATTAAATAAGTCATGCCTGTGTAGAAATTCGCAGGAAGGTCTAACTCTTCAGATATTAGTTATTGATACCATAAAGCCAAATCACTATGAATATTGCTGAATTACTTCAGACAGTAATTTTGTATTTTGTCTGGCCCAGAAGCTTTCCAGTTTTTCATTATCTTAAATGACTTTGCTACATATGTTTGATTGGCTACAGTGAATATTTTCCAACCAATATGCATAGCTATTTTAACATTTTTTTCCTTTCCAATATTCTGATATTTCTAAAGGTTCTGGGTAGACATATTTTTTAGTATTCTCTTTAGGTTTTATAATCTTATAAACAAATTTTTCTCTAGTACCAAATATATGATTTTGTCTTATTCCATTTTGAGCATCAGTATACCTCCTGATCCTGTTTGCGTACACTGCTAACTTCTGTTTAAGGGTTTCCATATAAACACCAAGAGTTTGATTTAACATATTGCTTGTAACACCTCCAATGTTGAATACTATTATTATTATTGTTTATTTGTCAACACTTTTACAAAAGATGTTTTGTTTACTTGAGAGGGGAAGAATCAACTCCAACCACCTCAGGTATGTTCTATTTTAATTTCTATTGGATGTTGAGAAAGCTTCTTACAATTCTGGCAGTATTCAGCAGCACACCTTTCTGAACTTCATTTATTACAGGAATTGGGAGGCTCAGTCTGTCAGTTGCTTCCACAGTCGACACTGGTATCAGGCCATTGCTGGAGATCACAATGCTCCTAACGGTTACTTCATTAAGTTTATACAGACTTTTTAACTCAGTTGCTAGACCTTGATACTTCCGAATTTTTTCTGTACAGCCTGAGTTAATGTTTCCGTCATTTGGCACAGCGATGTCTATAATCTCAGCTATCTTAATATTACCGTCAATTAACACAATATCAAGTCTGTTGTGGGTCATGAGATGGTCTGTTAAAAATGATTGATTCAAATATAACTTTCTGGCAGAGTCCTTTAGTGCTATATTTATAGTAGGGCTCCGAATTGTTTAATAATTTACTATTCAGACCAATCTCTTGGTGATCGACTTTGGCAACATCGTCATATCGTTTTAGGTATTCTGTACCTGCAAGAGCTCCTCAACCTCCAGTTACGTGTTGAATGGATTCATATGTGTTTACACAGATTTATCAGAAACATTTGTCCAATACATTCTGTTGCTTCAAGACGTGTCGCCAGTAGGATCTCGTAGCTATAACCTGGTCCTGGATTACAGTTAAAAAACCTTCAGTCTCGGAGAATAGACTTCCTCCAACCAGACAGCTAACGGACAAAGATTTATCTAGTCTGCTGAAGCTAGTGAAAAAACCTACCCTGTAACGCTTTTTACTTCCACTCTTCTAGTCTGTCATTTTCAGTAAAAAAGATTGGCACAGCTTCTTGATAGGCTAATTGTAGAGCAGTGTGTCCGTAATCAAGATTGCAGATTACCTTATGTCATGGCACTGCGCTTTGTTTAAAGTACTCCTTTAGGTTCTTTTCTTGACTTTGACGAGACTCTTCAATATTTGTGAGACCTCTCCCTCCTTTCTTTCTTGGTAGGTAAAGCCTTGTCATAGATGCAGTCAGTTGGGTCATTCTGGAACCCATCATACTTGTTCTTATTAACCTATCCAATTTCTGGAGTGACGTGTGCCATTTTAGAACTCCAAAGCTGTAAGATAAGGAAGAAATAACCCACTTATTTATAGCTTTTATCATTAATTCTGAAGAAAGGTATGTTCTAAGGACAATCTTTAGTCTTTTTTTAAATGAAGCTATCAATTTATATTTTACACCCCTACTAGCTATTTTTAAATGCTGCTCTATCCCTAGATATTTATACATAGCTTCTTTCTGAAGATTCTTAATATGATATTCTTCAATAAACAAGTATTCAGAATTATTTGGCTTTCCTTTTATAACGTGAAGGACTGCGCTATTCTCAATCCCAAGTGAAATCTGTATAGAGTCACTAAAGTGAGTAATAACTGTCTTTAGCATTAACTGTAGCTGGAATTTATTCTTTGCGTAGAGTTTTAAATCATCCATATAAAAGCTATGGCTGATCATTGCACTTATTTCATTAAATTTTACTTTGTATCCGTTTTCTTCACGATTTAATAAAATTGACAACAAAGCCATCACAAGACAACACCAAATGGGGCTGAGGCAGTCTCTCTGGTATATACCTCTTGAAATAATGTATTCAGGTGATTGGTATCTCCGTATCAGGTATCTCCCATTCTCAGTCTTGTTTTCCAGTTGTTCATAAATTTCCTCAGAAGTTCTTTAAATATGGATGAATTTTATATAAATCCAGAACTTTTAAAAGCCAACTATGAGAACTGAGTCAAATGCTTTTTTATAATCAACCCAGTTATTGACAAACTTCTTTTATTCATGGTTGTTTGGCCTACAATGAACGAATCAATGAGCCAAAGTTCTTTGCACCATTGAGCTCCTTTTCTACAACCAAGTTGCTCGATTGGAATCAAATTATTGGTTTGTTGGTGAAATTAAATTTTACTTGTGAGAATGAATGTTAAAATCTTATACACACTGTTGAGGCAAGTAATTGGCCAAAAGTCTTGAGGTTCCAATCGATCTCCTTCTTTTTTGGGAATCAGCATTGTAATGCCCTTACAAAATGTTTTGGGAATGTCTATCTGCCCTGTTATAATTTTTTTATAATTCATTGCAAGTATTCCATGCAGGCAGGATAGATTTTTAACCAGTAATTCTGAATTCTATCACTAGGCACTTTCCAGTTTTTCATTTTCTTTGTAGCGATTACTACATCCTCTTTTGAGATGTCGAATTCTGGCATTTGAGGTTTCTCCCAAATTCAGTATTTACTAATTTTAAACATATGTTTTCATCATTATGCTCTACATTGTGCTCCCAAACCTCTTTCCAATACTTTATAATATTGTCAGTTAATGAACAATTTGCACCTCCCTTCTTATCATTACCTAAGCTCTATAAAACTGCTGTTCACTGTTTTTGAACATTTCGTTCTGCTGTTTTCGAAGAAACAACTTTTTATACCTTTGTACTCTGCATAAACTGAAAGTTTTTGCTTTAGTATATCAGCACCTAAAGCCAGTTTTTTGGTAAGCTCAGGTTCTAACACCATCCTTATTTGTAGTGCAACTATTTCATCGATTTTTCGTTTTACTTTTGTACTTGCTCCAACTGGATTTCTGGTATAACTCGTTACTACTCCAATATTTGCCCTGAGAGAAGCTATTTTATTTTCCAATCTTCTCTGCCAGCTTGGAACTTTTTTATTATCTTTATCTCTCTTAGTTTTTTGTTTTTCCAAGCCAAGTCCAATAATAATGAGCCTAGCTGCAACATAGACCCAATGACAAACAGCTTTAACTGTCATTTCTGGGTTATCTATAATAATTTTACTCAGAACTTCATGAACCTGTTTCATAGTCAAACGTGATTTGAAGCTATACAGAATCTTTGAGAGGATTGGTCTAATATCAAGCTGTGTCCCCTAATAAATCACATGCTGAGATAATAATGATTCCATTAGTTTGTCAATGTCTTTGTCTTCTTCTTCTGGAGGAGCTGTCTCCTCGATCCAACAATCTTTCTAGATGAGGTTGTGTTGGATGCTCTTCATTTTCAATTGGTACCATTCCTAATCGTTCAGATACGATTCCTTTGATATTTTCTGTTTTCACTACAGATAAGAATTTTCTTGAACTGATCAGTTTAGCTTGATCACTTAGCCTTTGTGAACTAATAGCCATCTATGGATATAGTTCTTGCCAATACTGTTGAATCCTTCCTAGTTATCCCATCTTATCTGTTTCTAATTTTGTTGCCAAAAGATGTGCCTGGATGACAGCCTCGTTTATTTCTAGCATCAATTTCATTCTTCGAGCACCTCTTGGTCTTTGTTGCTGGGTTCGTGCTGGAGGAGAAATAGTCTCGCCCAAGCCCGAACTCAAACTTATCTTGCTTCGCCACTGCCTGAAGGAAGCTGTCGAAGATTCCGGCCTGGTGCAACTTCATTCCCAGGCTAGTCTGAGACTATGCGTTAATTTCTTAACTCCATTGTTGGTGGGTATTCTCATTTTTAAAACTTCTGCCAGGCCTTCCTTGGTAAGGTTGCTCTAGGGTGTGCACTGGAAATGCCCCTGGTATCACTATATGTGGTATTGTGTGCTGTGATGTATATGTTTATGAATGATGGGATGTACTCAGGAGCCCGGGGGAGCGTAAAACCCTAACGACTGCGTTCATCAGTTGCCCTTGCGGGTTTATTATTGGTATTATTATACTCAGTTCTATCATCACAGATAATAACTCTGCAAGTAGAAAACTAAATTCTCATTAATTAAGCTATTGAGGTCATCTCAGACTGTGAAGAAGTTATTAACTTGTAGCTCTAAATCTTTCTGAAGTCAAGATGAGAATGTCACAAACTTATTATATTATGAAAAACTTTTTTTATTGTGTGTTTTTAAGAATATAATATAATTTTAATTACTCTTGGCTTTTTTTTTAGGCCAGAATACTAAAATGTATTGTGACAGTCAGCTTGAATTAGATTATATCTATTTACATTATCATCCAAAAATGGTATTTATTTAGGTACAAACAAGTAGCTTTTGAGACATAAAAATATTCTAAAACTTTTATTATTGTTTCTTTACTTTTCTTATGGGTTGTGGGAAATACTCCTGGAGCATATTTCTGGAGGGAAATACGCCTGTATAACATTGTAACCTTAATTAATCAATTGATTAATTATGGGAAAAATTAGGCAGTTAAGTGTGATATTAAGTCTTCTCCTTGTACAACTATAGGCCTAGAACAAAGTACTATTGTAGTGGTTAGTAATTTTGTAGTGGTACAGGATATATATCCTATTTTATCTGTCTCTATTGTATTTAAATCTATTTTATCTGTAAATATGACCATTTTAGTTTATCAGAAGACTTTTTGGGACGTGTTTATTTGTTTTCACTTGTATGGTCTATTGGAGCGTTTTTTGATATTGAAGACAGAATAAAATTCAATACATTCCTTCAAGATAAAATGAAAAATCTCAGCCTTCCTGTACCATTAGAAGATGAGGATGGATCTGTCTTTAATTATGGGATTAATGAAGATGGTAAATTATTGTTTTTGTTTTTTTATAAATAAACTCAATTTATATTTCTTCTTTTCACCAACATTTTTTATTGATAGGTAACTGGCAATCATGGAATAAATTAGTACCTGCATACAATTATCCTGATCAAAGTACACCAGATTTTAATACTATACTAGTTCCAATAATTGAAAGTGTTTGTATTGACTACCTAATAAATTGTATTGCAAGGCAGAATAAACCTGTGTTGCTAATTGGGGAGCAAGGATCTGCAAAGACAATTATGATGAAAACATTCATGAAAAAGCTAGATACTGATAAGTATTTAATTAGATCTTTTAATTTTTCTTCTGCGACAAGTCCTTATCAGTTTCAGGTAGATCATATTTTATTTGTACTGTATTAATTATTTTAGATCCTCAATTGTGTGGTTAATTTATTGTTTTATATTTCTAAATTTTGGTATTTAGGTACCTAAAAAAATAAAATACAAAATTAGGTACTTGATTTATAAAATCTAAACTGAAAAATCACTATATTCTCGTTTTCTGTGTACATATATTTTTAATTATACCTATTTTTATCTTTGTAGAAAACTATTGAAAGTTTTGTTGAAAAAAGGATGGGAAATCTTTTTGGTCCTGCTGGTGGGAAAAAAATGGTTGTTTTTATTGACGATATTAACCTTCCCCAAATAAATGAATGGGGAGATCAGATTACTAATGAAATTGTTCGGCAAGCAATGGACATGAATGGCTGTTATAGTCTTGAAAAGCCTGGAGAGTTCATTCAAATCATTGATGTTCATTTTGTAGCTGCTATGGGACAACCTGGTTTGAATTTAATTTTTATTTATACTACATTATGCATTTTATATTTTTAAAACTTCTGTTTAAATAATATATTGCTATTTAATTTTAATTGTTTTATAATGGACTCAGGTACTAAAAATATGATATAACTGTTTGATTTGTCTCAAATTAAATTTTTAAAACTCCTATCTCTCTCTAAAAAAATGTGTTTCACATTTAGTAAAACATCTCATATTTTGCAAGGCATTCTAATTCACACTACACAAACTGGTTTCGCTCATTGGTCTTCTTGTTTTTTCAAGAAAAATAAAACAAGATATGTCCATCGGCATATATGTATTGATAATCTCATGAATGGCTGTTACCAATAATATTCCTTCAATTTGGAAAGAATTTCTATTTTAACCCCAAGGATCAAATGTTAATCTTCAGTTGGTCTGGAAAGAATTTCTATTTTAACCCCAAGGATCAAATGTTAATCTTCAGTTGGGGCCGGACTTCTAAACTGAATTGTTGAATGATATGATTTTTAAAACTTCAAATACATAATTAGTATTTTATTTATCTTTCTTTGCCTCAGTGTTTTTCAAATAAAATCCTATGCTCTGTGATACCTTGTCTATTTTTCAAATTGGTGATTAGTCGCTGTAGTTTCATATTTTTTTTTGGGTATGTGTAAATATAGATCTATGTGAGATCAGTTTTATAATAATTGAAAAATTATATATCCTATATAACTCATGAATGTCATGCGGTCAGTAAAATTTATCATTCATATGACTTTGCTTCCATACTAAAATTAAATTAGATTCTTATTTTATTTATCATAAAATCATATAATTAAATATCAATTGAAGGTCTGTTACTAAATTGTTACAATCTTTTTATGCCTAAATCAACTAGTGTTTAGATAAATTTCAATTAAAGAGACTAGTTGCACTTTTTCATTCAGGACTTGATAGATTTTATTTTAAGTATTTAATGACCAAGGCATTATTTAATTTCCAATCCCGAATATTCCTATTATTCATCAGAGATTTTCTCAGTTATATTAATTGCATTCCCACTGTGTATATGTAAGGTCATTTTCTTCCTATTAGCAAAGAAAGTCAACCACTTCACTTAGACTCAATAATTTGTAATTATTACCTGACTAATTTATAATATTAGTTGAAATTTATTTTTCTATATAACTATTAATAGTTATACTGAAAAATAATGTGCTAATATACATTTCAAAACCTTTTTGTTATTGCTTGATTTTCTCCAACAGTTACTGAAATAAGTTTGCCAGCATAAGAAGACTGTAATTGTCAATGTGTTTTTATACAAACAAAGAAAAATTAATTATGACAGTTGTGTTACTGATATTTCTCATTTTCTAAATAAAGTATATTACATTACATGATGGGTAGTGCAATAATAAACATCACCTATTATGTTTTACTTATGTGATTAGTGTTACTTAAAAAAAATTGTTTTTATATACTTGAAAAATCTGGAATTACTACACCCGACATTTTTGAGGTTTGGCTGTTGCCACGTTTCCATCCGCACAATCTTGGGGTGGTCAGAGAGAGGAATGAGTTGCTGATTACTACTTGTATAACCAGTTATTCACTCAACTTTGCATTCTTTTTCACTTTGAGATTTTTTCCTGAAATTCTGGATGGTTATGACTTTGACTGCCTGACAGTTTTTTGTCTGATTTTGTACCTAATTCCATTCCTTTGTTCACCTTTATGGTAGAGTGCTTAAGGAAAGGATCAAAGGACCTGAAAAGTGGTGTGATAAAGCTCCCTGATAATTGGTCCTGTCTCGAATTGAAAAAAGGATTCAGAATTGGAGGTATCTTGTTTTCCAAGGACTTTGTGGTCTAAGAAAACCATGCTAAAAAGCTTTCATCAAATTTTAATGCCAAATAAACTTTTTGAAATAATAATAAATGTTATAAGATATTGTTAATTGATATAATATAATCAATCAGGACGGCTTGTTTTGAATTTTTTCTCTTTTATTAAAATAACCATTTGGTTGATATGTAGTTTTTTTTTTTTACTTTTAAGAAATGATCAGATATTTAGAACCCATTTTGTTCTCAACTACTGATTTTTTCTTTTTAGGTGGAGGAAGGAATGATATTCCCTCTAGACTAAAAAGACAGTTTTGTATTTTTAATTGCACATTTCCATCAGATGCTTCAGTTGACAAAATATTTCGTATTGTTGGTGAAGGTCACTATAATTTGAAAAGAGGATTTTCACAAGAAGTTAGACTACTAATAAAAAAATTAGTGCCTTTGACTAGGAAACTATGGCATAAAACAAGGGTAAAATTATTTCATTTTTCTCTGATTGCTCAACAAAGATGTGCCACTGATTAATAATTTAATTTTAGTCTCATTTGTTACCAACTCCTGCTAAGTTCCACTATGTATTCAGTCTTAGAGATTTATCCAGAATTTGGCAGGGAATGGTTGGAACGTTATCTAATGTTATAGAATCTGAAAGAATTTTACTTCTACTTTGGAAAAATGAAAGTACAAGAGTTTTTGCTGACAGGTAATGACAGTTTATAAATATGATTGGTTTAAAAAAAAATAAGGTTTTAATAAATGTTAATATAGACTACTTAAGGATTTACATCTATCACAGTAAAATCCTACATAACCTACACTCCATTTGAACTGGTGCTAAAAAGGAAAAAAATAATAAAATTTAATACAAATTTTCTCAGATTTTACCAGTTCACTGAAATACTGATACATGCTATCATTAGAACTAAATTATTATGATTAAAAAGTCATTAATATATAAAAAATGAAATTGTTTTTATTGTACCATCCAATCATTACTTAATGTTGAATTAAAAGGGTAACAAACTAATGAAGATTAACAGAGTAACAAACAACAAATATTGTCAAGCTTAAAAAAAAAAAAAAAAAGATTATGAACTTCAAGTTTTTAAATATTCCTAATAAGGTTAGTAATTTCCTTTTGCTTTATAAAAACTCTAGGTTTCATAAAAGAAATTTTTAAAAAACGTACCTTTATAAATTCTATTAAAAAATAAATGATGGTTTGTAAATTTAAATTAAATTATGTAACTAAAGATTTTTTAAAAGTTATAATCAATTGCTGTAACAAATTTAGCTTCATTATATTTTAATATACATATTACCTGTAGATTAATTTGTTTACTGTGTCTTAATTTTTACTTAATATATCCGTTAAATTATTATTACATTGTTTTATACGCTTTGTTATTTTAATGTATTGCACCGCTGTTCAAAGTAGCGCTGGAGAAGGTGATAAGAACAACATTATGTGAAAATGGAGGGGTGCATTTCAGAATGAATCACAGAATCCTTATTTGCAGGTGATATAGCAATCCTTGGAAGCAATCAAGAAGACATTGAGAAACTCGCTATGACTGTGCTAACAGAAACAGAGCAAATCGGTTTACAAGTAAATGAAGATAAAACAAAATATATGATAAGCCGAAAATTCTTCCCAAATAACAGGATGTACATATAAGGGAAATCAAATCATTCTCGAAAATAAACAAATTCAGGTACCTTGGATCCACAATAATCTCATTGAATGACCAAGGCTAGGAAATAGATGAGCATATAACAAGTACAGAGATTTCTTCTTACTTTCAATAAGGTAATGAAATATCAAAAAATCTCAAATTAAGGGTATGCGATGCTTTGACAATTCTCATATACAGCTGTGAGACCTATCACTCTAGAAAGAAATATTGAAAGATTTAAGAGAAAAATTCCCCACTCGATAACCGGAGTGATGTGGGATCAGAATACTAAGAGAAGAAAGACCAATAAAAAGCTGTTTACAGAAACTGATAAATCAATATCACGTGATATGAGGGCAAGGAGATTAAGACTGGCAGGGTATATAGCTCGGGGCAATCCATCTGGAAGCCTCTACACAACAATGAATGCCTCAATAGAAGACGAAAAACCAGATGTATAGATAGAATCAACAAAGATGCAATAAAGCTGCATGTATATAACTGGAAAGAAATAACCAAAGATAAGCAGAGATGGAGGAAGCTGATTAAGGCGGCATGAGATCTACAAGGTCTATATTGTAGCATTACTTGCTGGTTACATTAAGCCAGTAGGAGATTCAGGATTTAATTTTTGGAAATGCTAATTTATTATTTTTTTAAATTATCAATAATTAAAGAAACATTAATGATTTTAGGGATAATATTTTTCCTAGACATATTTAATTTACATAAGTAAATTACACTCAGTAGCCGAAGAATATGTGTTGTAATTTACTAATAGAACAAATTGTAATTTACTAATAGAACAAATTGTAATTTCTTAAGTATTTGGCTCAGATCACTCATACAAAAAAATATGGACCAATAAAAATGAATTTACTATTTTTTGAAGGAGGGGGTTTCGGCTTGAAAGGCCACTCTTAAATCTGCTGCTATATCAAATATTCTTTGAATGAAATAATTTCCAAACATATTACTTATAAAGACTCTGACTTATGGCACATTTTAGAAGTTTTCTTAAATACTTTACAATAGACAATTGATACAGGAATTATAAAATATTTTTTGGAAGAAATTATTGGTCATGTAGAGATTTAAATCTAACAATATAGTAAATAGATAGGTTTTGTGTTATTTCAATGGTCTTAATGAGTTTTTATTGGTTAACTGTTAGGTTTAAGGTTTAGCTCAATTAAAAATGTTCTTCAAAAATTTTGTAAATGCCCATCTTTGGCAGAAAATAATTTCTGTTCAAAGTAGAGCGATAAATGAAAGTTGTGTGGTGCATGTACCAGATTTTTCATTATAGAGATCTGTTATGATTCTAACTTTTAAAGTATTTAATTTTTTCATTATAACATTAATGTATATTATTAATTTAATTTTAAGTGCCTGTGAACCAATCTTTTGGATTATTAATAATGAGGTGTTGTACCTATTTAATATCAAACATTATAAAATCATGTTGAAAAATAATAAAACAAGTAAAACGATGCTTGACAATTATTTTTTTGTTGCTTATTATAAGTAAAATAATATTTAATCAAATAATTATTTCTAGATTTACATCTTATTCAGACAAAGAATGGTTTGACACACTGTTGATTGATCTGGTTGGAACTGAACTTGGTGAAAATTTTAAAGCAATGTCACTACCCAATCCTCCATTTGTAGATTTTATGAGGTAACTTTTTGACTTAGTTATGGTTGATAATATTTTATAAGTTATTCTACATTTTTCTCATTATAAAAATATTAAATTTGATTATTAGTTTTTTTCATTGCCAGATTGTCTTAAATACGTAATTGTGTAGTATAAGTCAAATAAATTTTATTTTGTGGCTAATAAAACATTCACTTTATTATTCTTATGTACCTCTTTGTCTTACTGTATATTTAATCATTTTTGTTATAATGATCCTTATATCCTAGCAATCAGTTTTTAGTTCATTAATCTATGAAAACTCGCTAATACGTAAAATAGAAAAACTAAAATTTATTTTCAATAGTTAAAGTTGAGAGGAAGTATTCACAGTGACACATAGTATTGATTGAATTATCTCATTTTTATTTAATTTTTTTTAAGTGAAATTTACTACTGTATTAAAACAAAAATTCAAATAAGTTTAGAATATAATTGAAGTAAAAATATAAGTAAAGTTAGAAGCTTAGAGTATTTGTCTGGTAAGTATTAAAGCAATCAAAACCCCAATCCTTTCATTTCTTTTGCAGTCCCTTAATTTTTTCCCAATAATCTGCATAAATATCACCTCCAGTAGTTATATTTCATGTTTGTGATATCTTCTTGATCAGATACTATCGATACTAAGATAAGAATCAGTAGATTTATTCCTTTATATAAGTTTATTTGAAATATCATAGGAAATAGAAAATCTCCTACCTCACAATAAACAACCATACTATTACAATAATAACGTACATTCTATATTACGCCTGGCTGGTCAATTAGACATATTTAATAAATTCCCAAGAGTTAAAAAACATAACTGCTTTTCTTCTATTTCATTTTGTTATTAATAAATTTTATTCTTAATTTTTTCTAAGTTGTCAGATTGTTGAAATTTTTTCATTGAAGCATTTTCATTTAGTTTAGGCTACTCAATTATAAGCTCTTAAACATTAAAAAAGTATTTCTTTTATATCAACTTTGTGTTTTCTGAATGATACTTTTTCTAAAGGGATGCCCCAGAACCAACTGGTGAAGAAGGAGAAGAAACTGATATGGAATTACCTAAAGTTTATGAGCCTGTTTGGGACATAAAAGAACTTCAAGACAGGCTGGATATGTTTTTATCTCAATTCAATGAAATGGTCAGAGGTTCAGGAATGGATCTGGTATTTTTTCCTGATGCAATGCTTCATCTAGTGAAGGTCAGTAGGTTTATCTAGTCTTCAGAAAGTTAAATATTTTTCCTATATTAAAACAAGCAATACTATTTACAAAACGTTTTTTATTATTTTCATTTGTTAAAAGATATCCAGAGTAATACGGCATCCACGGGGAAATATAATGTTGATTGGAGTAGGAGGATCTGGGAAACAATCTTTAACAAAATTAGCTTCATTTATTGCTGGTTACAAAACATTCCAAATTGCTCTGACACGGTAAGATTTTTTCCTCAAATAAATATCCTTTCTGGAAACTGTCTAAAATTTTCCCTATTATAAAATTTGCTTTATGATGAAATCCTGACAGTATTTATTAATTACTATTTTCATTTAATATTTTTTCTGCTATAAAGAAAATTTTATTAATTAACTGAATATATTATTTTAATACTAATGAAGGGAGCATAGTACCTCAGTGGACAAGGTTCTGTGCTCCTGTTGTTTTAGTTTCGGGTTCGAGTTCTTTAGTAAGTAATTGATTATTTGTTAAATGAAATGAGCTTATTGATGATGTTACTTATATATTAGAAAGACTTTACATTTTAAAGTTTATATTAAAACAAACAAATAATCAAACAGATTTTCAAAGTATAGGTTGACAGAAGGTGAAAATTCTCTAATAACTTAACAAAAAATTATTTAAAAAAAGGAAATTCCTTCAGAAAGTTCACCAAAAACTTTTTTACATTCCTCCCCAAATGATTTTCTTTACTTATGCTATTTTATTTTATTATATAGTTTGTATTATACATATCGGAATGTTTTTAGTGTAATAGTTATATTTTTTGTTTTATTATTTTTTCAAAATCTTAATCTTAATAATAAATGTAAATAATTAATTTTATGTATGGCCACACAGGCATTTATTCTGTATCTGTTATTTGTCCTAAAGGGACAACAGTCCCAGGATAATAAAAAAAATATTTTCATTTCATTTCTATGAACTAAAAATCTATTAAAAAGGTAAATGGAGGAGAATAGCTCTTTGATTCCTTGGCAAGGCTCAAGGCTATTCTACATCAAACAAATATGTCTTGAGCAAGTGCAATAATGGATTAATAGTAGTTCAGGGATCGCTATCTGTCATTGCTTAACTGTTAAACTGCCATGATGTTTTCCAGTGGGACAAGCTAATGACTTATTTAGTAAATTATTATTGTTATAGTTGTGGTAAAGTATGAAGCTTGACCAATTGTGTGTTTGTGTGATGAATTTACTATCATGATAATATATTATTGTATATAATAAAATTGTTTTCCTATTTGTATAATTTAGTATTTATTTGACTGCACTCCCCGATCAACTCCTTCTCATATTATATCACAGTCAACCATCTCTACATCATCATGAAAAATAATATTACCAAAATGGACATCATTACAATCTAGTATAATATTATAATCAACTGGTAGAGATGTATCCATGTATATATAGTATAATCCATGTTTTCTAATTTCATGTGGATATTTCCTTTTTAATTTTTTTAAATGTTTTATACTGGTATTGGTAGTGGTGGGAGCACTAGTCTGACAAGTGGGCCTTGTGGTTCTTTTTACCAACCTCTGATGGGTTGGTATAAAGAATGAACCCATAAGAGGTTGCAACCGTGTACTAACCAGAGTGCTCCTACTCTTGTCAAGATTCATTTCTTGGGATCTCCAAGAAATAAATCTCAACTAACATAAGTGGGAATCGAACACACAATGCTCAAAATGGGGCACTTTGAAACTTTCATCCAAACATGCTTGATCTTCACGTTCTCTATATTTTGTATTATTTGTCTATCTTACAGACTTTATTATGCAACAAAATTACATTTATTAATGAGATATTTATATAAAATAAACTTTAAAAGGAAAACTTGGACATTAAAATTTTGTTTATGTATTCTAAAATTATCTAAATTACTGTAGTTTTAGTTTTAATTATAACTTTTTAATTTTTTTCATATCTTTTTTCTAGCTCATACAATGTTGCTAACTTTTTGGAGGATATAAAATTTCTTTATAGAACTTGTGGAGCTCAGGGAAAAGGAACTACATTCATATTCACAGACCTAGATATCAAGGAAGAAATATTTTTAGAATATCTCAACAATATTTTATCATCAGGTTCATTTTCTAGCCTAAGAAATTTATATTTAAAGAATTTAACTTTTATTTCTTTGAATTTATAGTTAGGTATATCACAGATATTGTTACAAATACAAAATTCACCCACTTTTCACAGAAAATTTATCTCTATTCATTGCTAAGGTTTTATACCACAATGCATGACATATACCTTATGATTTTATACATTTATCCTTTGCGGTATTCTATTTCCCCTTTCTCAGCATTCAACAGAGGCCTATGTTAGTTTTGTAACCTTTTTCTTTTTTACTTACTCTTGTTTTTTACTTCATTTAAAAGTGATATGAAGGGGAGGACTATCTTGTCAAAAACCTTCAAATGAAAATTAATTATAAAAAATAAAAGTCAAAAGTGTGCTATCAGCTCGATATAAAAGGCTTCTTTTCTATTTCTATTCTAAAAGGCTAGGATATAAAAGTAGAAATGGTTATTTTACTTGTGCAATGATTTGAGATCATGGAGTTAGTAAATAATACACTGGAAATAAAGAGCAGTTGCTGAAATATATCACAAGAGACACTTACATACGCCCACACGCATATATATATATATATATATAAGTTAAACGTTGTGGGCTTTAAACACTTAAAAAAAAGAGTAAAGGTTCAACAAATAACACGCATGAAGTCAGAAACAAGACTCCTTTATTCCTCCTTATAATCCTCTATATATACATTCTAAGTTGTTTACATAAATGCTTTTGGTATTAAAGCTAATACTGTCCCGCTCCGTACCTTAACTCCCCCCCACCAGTTTACGGATTCTCTTCGTAAACTTAAAAAAATAAAAAGACATAAAACAAAAAGAAACACTCTTATATATACAACGACAAGATTCTCTTGCCCATATTATAACACAGGTACGGAGTGTTCAGTACTTACAACCTAATTTAATGAAACACAAACAAAAATATTCCTTATATATCAAAATATTAAAAAAAATACACTTTCCTCACTATAATCCTCTCACAAATGAAAGGCGTATTTCACTGCTTTCAAAATCTACACAAAGTTATGTAAGAGCACTATATACAAATCAAACAAAACAACAAACAAAAAAAAAATCTTCCTTCAGGAGACGAGGGCACTCCAGTTCTAAGGTTGCTGTGACTCTGTAATCGGAAATTTTAATTGCTCTATGTGAACCGTCCTTCGTTTTTTTGGTTCGTTAACACTCTCAATTGTCACCACATTATGCTCTCTAATGACTATCACCCTGAATGGACCCTCGTATCTCCGCACTTCCTTACCCCTATTCGAGCCTAATTTGCGATACACTATGGACCCTATTTTCAACCCCCCTGTTACTTCCTTCACTTTGAGATTTTCCCGCGCAACCCTTTTCCGCTTTTCCCCCTCTATTTTATCCTTAACCTTCCCCCAGAGATTACCCAGTTCCATTTTGTTACTAACCATTCTTTCTGTCATTTGCTCGTCAGTAGCTGTACCTCCCCAGTCCCGTTGCCGTCCGCGTAATCCGAAGAGAATTTCAAATGGAGAGAACCCTGTTGTCGTATGTAAAGAATGGTTGTACGCTGCCACCGCCTTCCGCATTGCCACATCCTGTTCCAACCCTTTTTCCACCTGATACACCCTTAGATGGTCACTAAGAGTGCTGTGCAGTCTCTCTATACTTCCTCTGCTCTTGGGGTGCCCTGGAGTATTAAGATGCCAGCTGACACCTACGTTCTTCATCTCCGCTCTGATTTTGGCATTGTCGAACTCTCTGCCCCCGTCGGATGTTATGCGATCGGGTACTCTGTAACATTGGAAACACGTCTGGAGGGCTCCTAAGACTGCCTCTGCTGACCGCTCCTGTACCAGGTACGCCATTGCCGCTTTGCTAAAGAGGTCTATAAGCGTGACCCACTTATACCCTCTCCATGTGAACGTATCCACTTGCAAGTCGCTTAGTGGTGCATCGACCATGGGTGTCTCCTCTTGCATCGTTCTCGGGGGGGTGCCGATCGTACTTTGTGCTCGCGCACACCCTGCAGGATCCTATGAGCTCTGCGATCGTTTTCTTCATCCCCCACCAAAAATATTTCCGACGCAACGCTTGAAACGTCTCCTGCGCCCCACGGTGGTTGGTCTTGCCCTGGTGGTAAGCAAGTGTTATATCCTTCTGCTGCTCTTCATCCCGCACTGTATCCGCCATCAGTTTGCACCGAATGAACGTCCTATCCATCCCTAATCGTTCATCCCGCCATAGCCTCTTTATCTTCTCCCAAATCGTTTCATTTCCCACATATAAGTGGTGAATTTTCCTTGCTTTCGACGCGTCCTTGAGAGCTCTGCAGATCTGGTCCACGCTGGCCCCTGGTTGTGACCAAATGGTTGTTATTCGGCTGTTGCCGTACTTACTATATAGTTTCTTCATCAGACCCGACGTCCTGGTCTTCCAGATGATCTGGCGGTTCTTATCGTTGACGATTTCCTCCCGTTCTTCCATGTCCACTGGCCTCTCTTCCGCTGGACTTTCTTCTTGTTGGGTATCAACTCCATCCACATTTTCTTCCACCACTTGTACCCCCTCTCCCTCTGGCGTCCAGTCCCTCAGGAATTGTTGGAATTGAACACGCCTCCCGATGATTCTGCTGTATCCTCCTCTCTGGCATTTATAGTTAGCGCTCTCGATAGCCAATCCGCCACCACATTCTCTCTTCCGGGCTTGTACACAATGTCCATGTTATACTGGTTAAGAATCTCCTTCCAGCGTGTGACTCTAGCCGAAGATTCCTTTAGCTTGCCTACCCATTGTAGGGGTCTATGGTCCGCCTGCACGCGGAATTTCCTCCCAAAAACATATGGTCTAAAATGGTCGATAGCCCATACGATCGCTAACAGTTCTCTCTCCAGCGCACTGTATCGCGACTCTGCCTCCATAAGTCGCCTGCTGGCATATGCTACGGGACGGTCCCCCCCATTTCCATCCTGGGATAACACAGCCCCCAACGCGTATTCGCTAGCGTCCGTTGTGATCGTAAACACTTTCATAAAATCCGGAAATGCTAATACTGGCTCCTCTTGAAGCCTCGCCATGCATTTCTGAATGTTGTCTTCCATTATGGGGGTTACTATCACCTTGCTGCCTTTCTTTAATAAATTGTTGAGGGGTACGAGGTATTCCGCTATTTCGGGCACAAATCGTCGATAATAATTAAGGGTTCCTAACAATCTGCGGATCCCTTTTACATCCCGAGGTATTGCCATCTTCTGAATCGCCTCCACTTTCCGCGCGTCAGGTTTTACTCCTTCACTCGATATCGTGTGTCCTAAAAAATTTATCTGGTCCTGCCCTAACAGACATTTCTCGCTGGACAGTTTCAGCCCAAATTGTCTGACTCTCTCAAATACCCTACGTAGATGCTCTACGTGTTCCACCTCGTTTTTACTAAATACCAACAGGTCGTCCATGTAAATTTGGCACATCCCTTCATCAATTCCTCTTAGGAACTCGTCCATTAGCCGCTGGAATGTTATAGGGGCATTCTTGAGACCAAATGGCATTCTCGTAAATTCGTAATGCCCCCTGTCGAACGTGAATGCTGTCTTCAATTGATCTTCCGGAAGCATCCTAATCTGATGATATCCCGCTTTCAGGTCAAGAGTACTGAATACCATTGCCCCGCTTAACCGATCTAAAATGTCCTCAAACTTCGGGATTGGGTATTTTTCATCCACAGTATTCTCATTAAGTTTGCGGTAATCGATTACCACGCGGTACTTATCCTCTCCGGGCGCGCTTTTCTTCTTAACTGCCCATAGCAGGCTATTATATGGTGACGTGCTATCGACAATTATCCCCTGCTTCTTTAGACTCTCCAACTCTTCCCTAATGTATTGGCGAAGTGCCTGCGGATACCTCCTCTCTTTCACATAGCTCACATTTTCGTGCTTCAGCGGGATCTCGTGCACCGTTTTGCCCGTCACCCCCAACGTATCTCCCTCCTTGAAAAAGATGTCTTCGAATTCCCTTCTCACGACTACTCTCCAATCCTCCGCCCGACTTATAGCTCCCACACGTGCTCTCCGGTCCTCATGCCCCTCTATTGCCATCGTACTCGTATACCTGATTCTCCCCATCCTTATTTTCCACTCCTCCCTTCTATATGCGATTCGCACGCCCACCTTCCCCAACATGTCACATCCTATAATTACCTGGTATTCCCGCGGCATTTCTCCCACTACATGCACCGTACGTTTACCTCCCTTGGCTGCCCACCTCCTCAAACCTATCTCCACTTCTCCTTCTACTCCACACGGGCCACCCAGGGTGATTAACTTACAATTACATACCTTGACTTGGAGTGTCCTCTCTCCATCGTACAGCTTCTCCAACACTCCCCGTGTCATGATGGTATTGGAACTCCCGGTGTCTACCAGGCATCGCACTCCTCCCACCTCTATTATAGGTAACCAGCAGCTTTTACCTCTGATGTTACATCTCACTAGCGTGCGGTCACCCCTCACCTGACACTCTCCTCAGATCCTCTCCACGGTTTGTCGGCGTCCACTCCTTCCGCTGCTTCTTCCTTGACTCCTCTCGTTCTCCCGGCCTACTGGGTCCTCTATCTCTTCTTCTGTCTCCGTGGCCAAGGATTCCTCCGACGAGTCTCTTGATGACTCACTCCTCCTTGCGTGTATCCTTCTTCTCCTCACTTCCTGGGCATTTACCTCCATGGGCTCCACCCTCTGTGAGCCTCTTCTGGAATAGATGTACGGACATTGCCTCGCAATGTGTCCCTCAGTCCCACACTCAAAACATTTCGTGCGGGGACACTGTGCCACCAGGTGTCCACTCTTTCCACAACCGTGGCACTTCCTGTCCTCTCTCCGTTGGCTACCTCTTGCTCTACCTTGTCCTGGTCTTCGTTCGGCTCCGGTGGTCTTTTCTCTCCCGTTGTGTGCGGGCTCTCTCCTTCTCCAGGTCGTTGGTGAACTTCTAGGTTTCCTATAGATCGCTCTGTTCCATTCTGG